CTAATCAACGCTTGAACAGTTGAACGCGTCCAATGTAACAGTCACAAGAATCCAATCAATGCTTGAACGCGTCCAATGTACTGTCACAGGGATCCAATCATCGCTAGAATGTGTGCAACGTCATAGCCACTGGAATCCAATTAGCGATAGAAAGCTAGAAGGGACCGCCTCAAATGCACACAATGTTAACGCACTGATGCTAACTTAATGCGTAATGCTAAAATTCTTATTTCAAGAGCGTAATACAATAGTGTAGTTATGTCATTATTGATGGAAATTGCAAAGAATAACATCTTCACTATGTACACTCACTCACAAATACATGAAAAACTGCCTATGATTCAATCCACAAATACAAAACTGACCACCGATGCAATCAGCTGAGACATACAATCTCCTTTCGTTGCAATCAGCCGAACAAAAAACGTAAACAAAGAAGGTAGCAGGGATACAGTCATGTGAAAAAATGAAAGATACAAATTCTTCTATATTAAAAATTTATCAGTAATGACATTCAACAAAAATCAGAATGGTTTAATAACCTTTGTAAATATTATACATGCATGCAGAATCAATCGTGTGCAACAGTGGCGTGAATCTAATGATGGTTAGTGGTTAGTTCTCATTAAGCAATCGGTGGGTAAGGTAACTACAGAACATTACTGCAGATAAAGCTCCCGAACTTCGAGACAATAATTGAGTGAAAACTTTACGTGATATATTGTGAGCCTTCTAAAGTTTTAATAATGAAGAAATCACAAGGTTCACAGAATCTAAAGGTTTGAATGCTAAATTTTTGACTTTCGTGTACTCTATTGACTATTGAGTCTATTCTAGTCAGTCAACTGTGAAGTGTCATGTTGTTTGTTGTGCATTGCCTTTTCTTCGAGAAGTTTCTCCAACTGCCGATGAGTTTCTCCTCAATTTGAAAGCTGAGGTAACGAATAGGTGCCATAAATGTTTTTTTTTATTTAATTTGAAACTATTATGTTGGGAGTAAATAGTATTTTCTTCTGTAGATCGATCCCTCTTGCTCATCTGTGAGTGACACATGTAATTAACGATCTTGCATGGGACCTTCTCTGTGTTGCCTGATAGGAACCGGAGATGGCTGGTGCCAAAAATCTTTATCAAGAAGGACTGTAAGCCTGTAAGGAAACTGACAAGACACAGTTGAAGATGAATAACTGTCTCACTTTGCTTGTTGATGCCAAGAGATTCCCTAACACAGATGTGGATGGTGTTGTGCGATGAGATGTGTAACTTTAGAGATGAATCACAATATTGCAGTGAACTGAATGCTTAGTTTCAAGAATTTTCAACTTCTGATTGACTGGACACTTTTTGGCATGCCATTCTGTTGAGTGTTAAAGAGCACCTACAAGAAGCTCTGGAATTTAGTGCAGATGCTCATGCTCCTGTTCAAGGCCAAGCCAAGGTTGAAAGAGGGTTTTTGTTCAACTAGGAAATCATGACACACACTACATGAAAGAATAAACAGTGCTTGACCTGTGTGCTGTGATTGATCATGTTGCACATGTTGGTGGCCTAGACAAGATGGCTTTCACCAAGAAGATGCTGCTTGCAGCTGGCAGTGCCAAAACATCCTACAATACTTATTTGGCAGAAGAGAAAGAGCAGAATGCAAAAGCCCAGAAGATCAAGGAAGGATTTGTTGGATGAGCTAGATGAACTGAAGAAGAAGAAAAGGCATATGGAGGCCAGGAGGAGGGCATCAAGGCGCTTGAGCAAGCAGCAGATATAGTACAGTAGGAGATAATACTACAGTACAATGATACAGATACAACTGTAGGAGATGATAGTATATGCACAGTTAGTCTTTGTCATGCTAAACCAGTTGTATACAATAATACAAGTCTTGGAAAATTATATTGATGGTCATGGAATTTTTTTCTAAATACCAGTATGCATTCTGTATTTGGTAAACTCTCTGTAGGTCTTACTGTGCAAGTGATTAAATTGGAAGCTGTCAAGTTAGGTCTGTGCAAGATGGAATTGTATGTGATATGGAAAATAATGGTAATAACAAGTTTGAGGAGGCATTTGATGAAGCAGTTGGTAGCATACCTAGTTGCCACTCTTGCTGTGCTGAGAAGGTGATAAACTTTGTGGATCAGTTCAGGATTGAAATTTTCCTACATGTTTCTTAAATCTTGCAGCTCAAATGTGACTAATTTTTGGAATCTTTCAGCCTGATCATGCACTTTTGTTAACAATTAAATCGGAGGTGAAAATCTGGTGAAAATCTCTCGGTTCTGAAAATGGCAGGATAGCTTTAGTTATGGCCCTAAAGGTAGATGTTTTCCACACTTGGATCAGCGTAAAGTGTAGGCGTGTGACTTGATAAGATCTTGTTCAAGCTTCAGAGCAGTACTTCCTCAATTAGTTTTTATTTAAATATTAATCATGAGGTGCATTGATGATGATGATGATGATCACCACAACGTCACTAGACTGAGTGCTGCCCAGGCCCACCCTCCTCCAGAGCGCCGAGCCAGTCTTGCCACACTCTGATCAGTTGGGACACTTCCACTGGCTTATTCCATAGATCTTCAGGCTGCAGGCTGGTTGGAATTTCAGCACACCCAAACAGATGTTGTGTGTTGTGGGTGTGGTTTTGACACAGAGGGCATGATGGTGTTGGGTAATTAGCCCCATCGATCTTATTGAGGTATTCTCTAAGCATTGGGCATTTCCCCGCCCTTAACTGCGCCAATGTATGCCTCATGCCTCGGTCCAAAGTCCTCTCTATTTCGTTTACTTTAGGTGCAGGTGCATTTAGAATCTTGTTGGGTGTTCTCGACTCTAGGTATCTCTCGACTGCAGTGGTATGCAATGTCTTCATGTTTCTATTCACCTCCACGCTGCTATAGCTGTTTTTGTTGTTGCAGTCATACACTTTTATGCTATACTCACTGTTGTATATGGTCTTTTTCATGAGTCTGATTGGCTCTTGGTTCATCAGACTTCTCAGTGGGTGTTCTTCCAGTTTACTCTTCTCCCTCAGTTGCGAGGCCATCATCTGCACATGGTTCTTCAGAGGCAGGACAGATGTTTCGTCGTGAAGATGTTGTGCGTTGGTGTCACGTGTGTGTCCTGTGGCAATTCTCAGGGCAGAGTTCTGAACAGTTTGTATTTTCTGCCAGCCACTTTCCGATGTTATGGGACCCCATATACTACTTCCATACTCCAGAGCTGGATGTATCAGCACCTTGTAGGTTTGCACAATAGTCTCTGTGTCTTTTCCCCAGTCAGCTCCAGATAGGGCTTTTAATATGTTGATGTTTTTCTTCGCTTTGCTCGCAGTGCTTCTTACATGTTCAGAGTAGGTCATCTTTTAATATGTTGATGTTTTTCTTCGCTTTGCTCGCAGTGCTTCTTACATGTTCAGAGTAGGTCATTTTTAGATCAAAAGTCAGTAAGTCACTCCCAAGATTCTCAGATGTTTTTCCATTCCCAACGTTGTTCCTCTTACATTGAGTTCCAGGTTGACACTGTACTGCTTGGGATCTGGCGTTAATAGTGTGACTTGAGTTTTCTCAGTGTTGAGCAACAGGTGGTTGTTCTCTATCCATTCTGTAAGGCTGTTGAGGTATGTAGTGATGTTGGATTTGGCCGTCTGTAGATCTTTATGACTTGCCAATACCATGATGTCGTCGGCATAGGTTACCACTTCAATTCCCACTCCTTCTTGCGGTGTTGGTAGGTCTGACATGTATATGTTAAACAGTACTGGGGACAGCACTCCCCCTTGAGGTACTCCTCCATGATAAGTTCTTTGTCTTGATTTGCTTCCACAGTAGTCCACATAACCTTTCCGTCCTCTTAGATAGTTTGCTAGGAACTTAACAATCTGTTTAGGTATAGGTGTTAGCAGTAGCTTTTCTATCATGCTTTCATAATTGATCGTATCGAAAGCGCTACTCATGTCTAAGGCTACCATTATCGTTCGTTTGGGAGGCGCCTTTTCATTAAAACCGGCACAGATGACATCGTTTATTTTGTGCAGTGCTGATGTTGTTGAATGCAATCTTTTGTATCCATGTTGGTGTTGGATGTTGGGGATGTCTCTTTCAATTTTGTTCAATAGAACTCTTTCCAGGATCTTCACAATTGGCGACAGAAGCGAGATTGGTCTGTATCTGTCTCTTATACACATCTAGATGTGTATAAGAGACAGCTACTAGTCGGTGTGTATAGAGGGTAGAGTCTGGTAGATTTATAGGACATAAAACTAGTAGATCTATTGATAGTGCTGTGCACTGTGCAATCAGCTACCTATCTGTTATGTGACTCGTCAATGTTTAGGAGATCTGCATTCCTGAAGTATTTTTGTATATTGAAGACAGTTAAATGGTAAATATTTAGCTCATTACCTTGCTTCATACAAACTTTACAAAGCTAATGAATAGACATTAAACTTATCTATAATTGTTTACCCAAAAATCCCTAAGTGGTAAACACCACCTTGGCCTGTTGGCCATTATTGGAGGCAATAAGTGCCTTTTTTAGCCATCCATTATGATCCATATGCTGTTATTGTTAGTAGGCTAATTGCAACATAAAAAATAACACCTCAAAAAAGACAAAAAAAGCTGAAAAAATAAAAAAAATCAAATAAATAAATAAAATCATAAAAAAAAATAAAAAAAAATCATTGATTTTTGATTTTTTTGATTTAAAAAAAAAAAAATAAAAAAATCACCAACCCTGGTTTTTTCAGACTTGATAGGTAGTGATTCTGATTTCCTAGTGTGGAATAAAGCCAGGTCTTGATTGGCATTTAGAGTGTGTACTAGCAAGTACGTAACTAATTTGAATAAAGTTACTAGCAAATCACTACTTTCTATGGTTCCCTGACATGTCATCTTTTGAGAATTTGATCACAGACATTACTTCAGCAATTCACCATTGCAAATTTCATCACCATAAAATTTCATCATTGCATGAAGTGCATTTTGCATATATTCATTCATTTGGGTAAAACCTAACCTAACATTTGTGTGCGTCATCTAATGAATTTGTTTTTGCCTTCAATCTAACCACAGGATGGTATATATATATCACTGTTATAATAAATGTTAGTTATTATATGCTGGTATCTGATTGCTCAGTATGTTAATTACTAAATTACAACTATTTATATACTTATTTTTGCAAAATGCATTTTGACCAATGGAGAAATGTTATGGTGTTGAAATGTGCAATGTCCAAGGATGAATTTCTTTATTGATGAAATGTGTCAATGATGATATGTCTCCTATGACAAGGTGTCTGGCCAACCCTTTCTACATGTATACAAATCTTTAAGATTTGAATGTTTTACATACTAAAACAAATGTTAGCAATATTTTCAAATCTTTCCCAACTTATTTAAAAATTATATAAATATCATTATTACAGGAAGACATCTTGACATCAAGAAGTACATAATTTTCCATGTTATGGATGGCAATGAATTTTAGGCAGGAGCTTTCAAGTTCTGTTTGAAATTGACTGGACTAAAATTTGCCTTTCTGCTGCTGCTGAGGCTGATCATCATGGGTGACAAAGCTGTGAGGAAATAAATTAAGAACTATGTTTATTATTAATTTTTTCTTGTTATTTGTTCAATTGAATATTTGAATTCTTTTCTGTGTTTAATGTTTGTAGTGGATAGAATTTAAGTGCATTTATTAGCAAAATCTCAGAAGTGTTGATCTATAAAAACTACTTGATGAATTAACCTTTAACCCTTTGGCACCCAAGTATAGAAATATGCAGAAATTAAAATTTCAGAATCTAATACAAAAAAAAAAAACATGAACAATTATAAGATATATTTACTGGTATAAATTTTCCCATAATTTTGCACATTTGTGCAGTAAGATGTTGCAGAAGAATCTATGAAATACAGTCACTGCACTACAAAGTTAGATGTACTGTAATACAAATTTAAACATTCAACAATCTAACTTCAATTTAATTCTATTTCATTATCTTTCTTTAATTTGTTGAACTGATGTGTATCATGTGTTACTTCCATCATTGTAAAAATATGCAAAAAGAGCATTGATTTCCTTTTCTAAGTCAGACATTTCATTGAAATGTTCATATTTTGATTTTTGGCCATGGTAGGATACAATAGAATACTGGTCCCATGATTGGTGGTTGGCATAGGCATTGTAGCATAGCCAAGAACACACCAGGGCTGTGGTGGGTCTTGCTGGGCATAGATTTGAAGTGACTATACATGGTCACTTGCCTGTGAAGAGGGGTTAATGACTAGGCATTGTGCAATTACAGATTTTCCAGCCATTTATGAGTTTTATTTATTTATTTTGCTTCTGTTATGTATTGAACAATATCATGTACAGTCATGAAATTTAGCTTTGACTTACTCTAATACTCTTTGTACAGGAGTTTGTGCGGTGCATCTGGATGCGCTTGGGAGTTGGAGATGATGGCTTCTTATCAATGGCTGATCTCACCAAAGTTTGCCATGCTATTGGCATGGAAGATGATGCTAAGGAAGTGAGTTATCAGTGCTAGCAAACTTGGGGCATAGTATTTTCTATAGCTTTTGCTGTACTGGCATTTGAAACAGGAATGATTTTTATGTGTTATATTCTTTTTCAAATAATGTATGTATCTTGTGTGTGTATATATAGAATTCGTTTTATAATCAAGCTATCTAAATCTCATATATAATGGGATGCATTCGTTAATAGGTCATTAGGATCTGCCTTATTTTTTTAAATGGATACTATGTCACTATGTCAATTGCCTTGCTTTGTGGTCTATTGAGTACCAAAGTGTATTGTACCGTACTGCCTTCAGGTAAAAACAAAATTTGAGTTTTATTGGATAATGATGTGCTGGAGCAAAGAAATGAAGTAGTACTTTCCTTTCTCAATTCGTTTTTTAAATTAACAAGTCTGCAGTTGTATCTTTTAAAACCTTATATTTTTGAAAATATAAATACATTCTTATTGATTGTATTATTATTGAATTTGAAAGGATTTAGAATTTTCATCAACCCAAAATGGCTCTCACTTTAGCTTGAGGTTAGCCACTAGCACTTACTTGAATATCTAATAAATTTACTCTATTTTGATGTGTAAAAGTTGAATCAAAATATATGTTTGATTGTTATCCTTCTAATAAACTTGACTGACGTTCTTGAACTGATATCGTTTCTGAGATCATGGGAATGCTTCATCATTTATTTTTCTTGTATAGGTCCAGTTAACTTATGTTCATACAAATTTTTTCCCCTGCAGCTCTTCACGAGGTTGGATCTTGATGGTGATGGAAGAATCAGTTTTGCAGAGTTCCTCCACCTCTTCCAGAAGCGCACGCCAGAGATGAGCATCACCAATGGCCAGACCTCCGTCCCAGCTCCACCAACCTCCCCTCAAAGCATTTCCTCTACAACATCTGGCTCGGTTTGGCAGGTTTCTGTGACAATCCATCTTGTTATAGCAACTTTCTTATTTTTCAGAGAGTGAAATAATTAATCATTAATAAGGAATTGGTTACAAAATATTGCATATTGAGGCATCAGAAGACATGAATGAATGCAAAATTTGGATCTTAAAAAAATTTTTGTAAGCAACTTCATTTACAGCCTTACTTATATTGTCAGAATTCTGAGTGCAAAATGTGTCAAAATATCATTGAAATAAGCAAACATTAAATTTTATTTCTACTGCTATGTGTTTTTTAATGTTCATTCCATTTTATTGTAGTGTGAAGGCCGAGCAGCTAATGTAAGTAACAAGTCTGGGCGCAGTGTGAGTAGCATAACCAGCAGCGGCAGTGGTATCACAAAGAGTGGCATGCGGAACAGTGGGGGTGCAGTCGTCAGCCACTCAATGGACGAGTCTCCTATGGCTGGTGCTCTTGCACCTTTCCTAATGCCTAGTGAAGCTGCTGGCTCCTCGCCTCGTACTTCATCCAGGTCACCTTCTGCTCTCACCAGTAGAGGCACTCCTGTCTCGTCAAATCAGTTATTATTTTGTCTGCTTCATGAAAATTTCTAAATTTTTGTACCCTCAGAGACCTTAATCCTTGAACTAATCTAACTTTGAACTAATTATTGTTAATATTTTTTTTTTGGGGGGAGGGGCTTCGATTGAATTTTTAGTTAGAAAACATATATTTTAGTATTTCTCTTGATTTATGTTCCGAGTTATTAATGTTTAGAATTCTGCCTTTTAGGATTTCATTATTTTTCCTTATACTTTGTGGCAGACAACATGCCACTTAAATTCTGAAGCTGAGTCTTGGACCACAGGAGCATCGGTGTGTGGAGGCTGCTGCAGCGTTGGGAGAGCTGCGGGATCAGAGATGGTCAGGCTCTACTCCACTACCTTGGACTTCCCAGCTCTCCATCAGAAGAACTAGCCTTGCATGACCTGACGTCAGCCATAGAGGAAGAGTGCACTGCATCGCCAGATGAGTCTGAGTGCTCCTCTAGGAGAACCAGTGAACCTCCTTCTTCAGCTCTCGCCAACAGGCGCGCCCTGTGTTCTCTTCTATTGTTGGAAACAAAACACCTCAGGTGCATTAATTCATTTATATTTCGATATCAAATATTGAATTTTTATACAAATAATTGACTAATACCCAATAGGCCTGACAAAATATAATTTATTAATTTGCTTATTTATGAAAGTAAAGACACGTTGCCAACACATGCTATTTCCATGCAGCTTAAAAGTCTTTGTTTTCTTGCTAAACACACTAAATGCTACATTCATTTCTCCTTATTGCTATAAATTACAGTTTCATTATAAAGTGTTCATACTCCCTCAGGAGTGCTGTAGAAAGCGCCTGGTGCGAGCGTGACAAGCTGCGTGCAGATCTGGCGCACACGTCGCACCGCTTGTCCAGCCAAGCACAGGAGCTTGACGACCACACCATGGCGCTCGAGGCCACCGCGCACCAACACATCCAGTGAGAACCACATCAGAATATTTACATTTGTCCGCCAGTTGTAAAAGAGCCCCGTTGTTAATTTTACGCTAAAATGCGCGCTGGTGACGATTAGTTACAGGCTGCCCTAACTATTGAGTCTTTTTCCATCTTTATGTGATTTTAGTGAGTAATATGTTGGAGAAATACTATTTCTTCATTGATTGCATTTCTGCACCATATAACTGCATATATTGTTTGGTTAGTGTTAAGTATATTAATTATCTATGTTAGAATTCATGTGAATCATCTGCTACAAAATGTTTATGCAGGAGTGTTGAGAAGCAGCATCAGGAGGCAGTGAGGGCCCTGCAAGAGCGACTGTATGGCGAGCGTGAGGCCAAAGAACAAGCCATCGCTGCTCTTGCCGACGCTAATAAGAGGGCTGACCATCTGCAGCAACAACTCAACAAGTCACGCGACCTCTTGGGGCAGACTGAGCAGGTTTGGCCTCCTTGTCTTAATAATCTTGATGGCGCTTTTTGTGCTAGGTTCCATTTAGATTGTGGGTGAAGAAATCTGTAATACCTGCAGCCAAACTGTAGAAAATCTGAATTTTATCTACTTATTGGACCTATGAAGAAATATATGAAATATCTTGCGATTGTATTGCCACCATGATGTGTTACCTGTCAATCCTGAAGTCTGTAGATGATTGCTGGACTGCTTCTCTGAAATCTTTCCTATTGTAAATTTTTCATTGCTGTTTTATTCATCACCTGACTTTGATCTCCTTGTACAGGCATGCGAACGACTGGAACTTGAAAACCACGAGTTAACCACTAAAATGAACGCAATGAACGCTTCCCTTGCTGATGCCGCTGCTCTCAACGTCAAGCTACAGCGCAGGGTCCGTTTCATCTGAATTAAATTGTCATCTGTATTAAAGTCTTGTGTTTGTATTTGTGATAGTTTTCTCCATTGTGAAGTGTGCCACAATTAAAGTTTTCTGTCAGTTTGCATTAAGTTTGTATACTCATTGCAGGTGATTTTTTTAATCTTAATTAACTTAATTCACTCCATAAATCCTCTGTGCTCATCAACATTACTTGCTAATAAACTAAAGCTTCTTGAACGTACTTCCCATAAATAAACTTTCCGCTAATTTTTTGTTCAAAATAATTCACGCATTGAATTTTACTATAAAAAGTATCGTTCATTCTGTTTATTTGTGGCATGTTATAGTTTCAACTATATTTACTTAGGTTGGTTTTGTTTTTATTGGCTTGTTGCTGCATTAAGAAATCTTTTCTACATTGTTTTGGTCTGGGGCTTACTTAGAAACCTGTCCTACATTGTGTTTGTCCAGGTCTTACTTAGAAACCTGTCATATTGTGTTAGCCCAGGGCTTAATAAATATTTTGCATTGATGTGGCTCAGCAGCAAGACCACCAAGAAGGAGATGAGCACGGCGATGAGCGAGGAGTTGGTTTTTTGGCTGGCGAATGCCCTGGCGATGACGCTGAGTGGCGGGAACTGTGCGCTCAGCTTGCCAAGCTGCGCCATGACAATCAGGCCCTCAGAGACAGCAATGACGAGCTCCAGGCCAGAGTGGAGCAGCTAACCCTGCACCCGTCGCACCGGGGAATGCTCAGGTAATGGCGTGCATCTCTAGAATTACGTCATATAATATTCTAATGGCGTCATTTAATACTAAAGTCATATAATATTCATTGGAAAAGGGCAGTGTAATTTTGTATTGAAACCACATTAAGGCGAAGAGGGCAAGTGTGAGATTCGTTAAAAAATAACTACGATTAGGCCTATTTCCTCCATAAACTTGTGTGTGACACCATAACTATGCCATCATGGGCCATGTTTGTCATCAGGCTGATTTATAGCACTTCTTGATTGCAGCGTTGGAGAAATGAGCCTCGATGGTACTTGTATAGGAGATTATTTACTACCTGCCGGACCCAACACCAGCATTTCCAGCACAGTAATCGCCAGCTCTCCACGGGAAAATTCGCATCCCTCTGCTAATCTGTCCAGGTGACGACTATCACTGTACTCCATCCAGCTCATGGTTTTAGACGATAGTCTGGTGACAGAAAACTGTCTTGCAGATTTTCATTCCTTAATTATCCCATATTCGTGTTTTTGATACTCTATTTTTAGCGCATTTTCTCATTTATGGAAAAAATGCACTATTGTGCTCGCCATGTCCGTCTGTCCGTCCGTCCGTGACCTCAAGTTTTCGTCGACGAGAAAATGCGCTCTCTGTCACTCACTGCAGTGAGTACTGAGTTATATTTTTTTAGTATTGTATGCTGATTTCTGGAACATTTTTCCTTTTTACCTCTTTCAGGGCTTGTTTCTTAGCCTGTCGTATGCTGCCGACATCTTTTACTTGTCATACTATAACCTTTAATTGAGTACGTAATAAAAAATTGTATCAAGCTCTCCCACCTTGCAATGCTTTTACGAAATTGTACTGCCTTAACTCACGATCACTGATCATAGCAGCGAGCAACCCGCCTGGAGCAGTGCTGGGATCAAGCGTCCCGCGGTGGGCAGCAGCGATGAAGTTTCGTGGAGCTCCCCACACGACGTGAGCAGCGCCTGTCGTCGTAGTTCCCCTGACCTCCTTAGCCCACGAGCTGGCAAGATCGCGCGCTGCGCGTCCTCGCCTCCACCTCCTTATTCTTCGTCAGCAGGTCATTAGGCTCACAATCATGTTTTGTTCTCGTCGGTTTGTTGAAAATTCTCCTATATTTAGAGATGCTGTGACAGAATATTTCAATGTAAATTAGTATTTACCTTAGATTTCAACCCTTCTGTGCTCCTAACCTGCTTTTCTCTGTTTTATTCACCATCTCATACCAATACCTGCTCATCTTTTTCTGAAAAAAAAAAAATAAATGTCATTGAAGAACCATTCTAACTATAGTTTTCTGACAGTCCTAGGCATGGGTGCATATGGCAGCAGCTCGCAGCCAGCTTCGTTGGAGCTGCACCTGACGTCACTGAGCAGCGGTGGCAGCCACATTGACGAGCACGGCAGCGTTCGGGACGCGTTCGATCACCGACGCGTGGCCAGCGCCAGCAGCGTTGTGAGTGATGCTTCCGCAAACGTTAAAATTTGTTATCTACCAACGTCATCTGGAGAATTGTTTGACTTATTGAAAATTTATTTGCCATCTTACGCTGATTTTACATTTTTATATGAATTTCCAGTTTTGCTGAAATATTTGCTAATGTGCTAGCTTTCTGATTGTTCCGGATGCTGTATGAACAAACTAGTTTCTGTGCTTGTGGAAGTAAGCCTCGCTCGTCAAGTCATAAAATGTATCTGATTTGAAATAAGAAAAATATTGTTGCTCATCAGATGACAAGTAACGCTCTGAGCAGCGAAAGCATCTCTTCAGCGTCGGCAAGTGCCCCACAGTCCTCTAGGTGAGTTTCAACCTGTTATTCGGTCTGCACATCACAGTGCCGGTTGTGCGAGTGGGTAATTGAGTTTTTCACTCATTTCTTATTAATCTTGACTCTCTGCCTCCGTCATTATACTGAATTCTATTTTTATGACCAAAATAGTTATTATCTGTGTTTGTAATAGGCGCAGCCGCAGCGGAGGTCTGGGGTCGGAGTTGGCGAGCGTGCGGGTGGAGGTCGCAGGGCTGGTGCAGCAGCGGCACCACTTGGCCGCGTGTGTGGCACGCCTGCAAATACAACTGGACGCACAGGTCAGGCCGCCTTGCAGCTTCATTTCATCAGTATTAATACATGCAAAAAAATAAAGAAATTGAGCGAATTCGAATATTTGCACATCAGTCTTTTGCAAATAAATTCATTTCAATGATGGATGGAAATGGATCCATTTTATTGCAACTGTTTTACAGGTTTCATGTTATATTTATTAGTATTTTATAGTTAATTTTCCCCTTTACTTATTGTTTTGATTTGGTCTTGTGTTTATATTCAGCTATCTCAGTGGGGCTGCTGGGAAAAAGCTCTCAAGAAGCTCATCAAAGAACTACAAACTGGAGAAAAATACGCAGAAGCTCAAAAGTCAAAGTCTCTACCGTCCTCTAGCAAGCCTCTAGCTAAAGTATCATCTGCTGACGATGTTTTCCTGCCTAACGTTCGCCCGTGCTTGTCTGACACATCTCTTGCCTCACATGAACATCAAGATGCAGTTCCTTGCACATCTTTTCTGCCGAAGCCTGGCCTAGACAGCCAAACCTCCACCAATAGAGATTCGGTATCTGCCGCTGCCGATGGTAAGGTTTCCGCGTCTCTTGATGATGTCGATGAAACTCCAAACGACAATCAGGCATCGGACGAGTCCAGTTATATTCAGGACAGTCCTCGCAAAGCCCCTGCGGACCTCTTGCCGCTTCTTACTTACCTGCGCTCAGCGGTGCGTGACCTGCAGCAGAAGGAGCTCGCGAAGCGTCACGTCCTGGAACAAGACCTCAGTGCTGCTGAGCGACAAAAAGCCCAACTTGAGGACAATCTAGCGCAACTTCAGGCCGAACTTCAGGTAAGTTGTTACTTCAAGAAAGCAAGAGCTCCTGTCTATGTACGCATTCCGTACGACGCTTGTGTTGTTTATTGTGGAAGACCGAAGACCAAATGGCGTATCTCCAAACATTGTTAAGACCAAACATTGTTTTATACTTCTTATTACCATAGTCCATTAATTAAAGACCAAACATTGTTCAACTTCTTAGTTTATAAAAAATATTTTCCAGTTTTTCCGTCACGTGTCGTACAACAATTTTTTTCCTTTAACTGCGTAGTCAGGTACACGTATTTTAGAGCTGAATGTTTCTTAGTGTCTAGAAGGAATTAATATTTTTCTCTGTGATCTAGGAATCTCTATTTTTTAATCACTATAGTAAGCAACATTTTTACCGTGATATCACATGAGATTTTTTTGCAGAGCGTGCGTGCAGAATTGGATAAAAGTGAAGATTATTGGCTACTGAAGCTCCAAGACGAGCAGGACTACTACGAAGAGGAGCGCCGCGTCTACGATCAGAAATTTGCTGAACTTGAGGCAAAAATTGTCCAGTACGAAACTGAAGAATTGAACAGAACTTCTAATGCTTCAAAACAGCGGCTCTCACCTATTGACGAGAGCTTACTTTTTGAGCAACAGGTGATCATGATATTAAACTCAGTTTTCACCGTACTGCAATATGTGTGATGTTCAGTTATGGGATTGCTTTTTATTATTTAAAACCGTTAACAACCTGATCATATTAAAGACACGACTATGGTTTTAATCTTTGTTATTTTAATTGATGATGAAACTTGTTCTGTATGATGTTAACAATTAAAACTTTGATTGAACCGTAGTTCAGCATTCCAATTTGATTCATATAATTGATCTAATTTAATAATTGTTACAGGTCAACGAACTTGAGCTCGAATTATTAGAAGCGCAAAGACTTCAATCTGCTGCTGAAGCGGAACGCAACGCAGCCATCGAGCTGCAAAGATTAGCAGAGGAACAACTTGCTAGCCTTTGGCAGGAAATTGAGAAAACGGATACCAAGGAATCACCCATGAATGTGGAGAGCGCTGAACAATGTGACCAAGCCGTGAACAATACTGATGCTATGGAGGAAATGTGCGTTCACGAGTCAAATCCAAAGCAGAACATTGAAATTTTTTTGGATAATACTGACAAGAATACAACTAACATTTCCTGTTCAAGCAGCTCCATGCCATGCAGCACTGAGACAGATGTTAACAAGTCGCTTAATACCAGCAATCCAGTTGCTGAAGAGAATCCCATTACTGCTAGTGAGACGACGGCCTCCAAAGATGTTGCTGTTCAAACTCTCGCACTGTTGGATCCCACTGAGGTTCATGTAAGCATCTTTATTCCACTAATATACTTAGAGTGAATCCACTTAAATAGCGTGATTATGTGATGAGGCGCGTTTATACTTCATGATTCTTCTTGTCCATACTTCATGAATGCAACGTTAATTTGCAAAATTTTTATTTTTTGCCTGGATGGAGGCAAGGTTTTCAAATTCTGACCACGCGTTTCCAGACGATGCTTCAGAGTCTCTTCTCTGGCTAAGAAATTTACTTAAAGGCTCTTTATTTATTCAGATTATTAGCCTACTTTTTTTAGCTCGTAACTTGAATTAATAGCGATTTTGTTAGCGTTTTGACTACATTACTGCAAAGGAGTTCTGCCTGCGTCTCAGTTCTGTAGTGGCCACTTAGTACACCATTATTATTAAACATTGCACTGTTATTGATCAGTTTTCAAGCTGTTGATGCTCAGCAATCAAACCCTTTTTGTTCAGCTATCATATACTCATTGGTCAGTATTTGGTTCAGCATTTACGATATAATTGTTTAAAATCATTTATGCTGTTAACTTTCACCATCTGAACGGCTAAGGGTAGAATTGCTGTTCACAGATGAATGGTGATCAGCACGATGCAGCACCAGCAGCACGTAGCCGAGGTGAGCAGCAGCAGCAGCAGGAGGTGATGCAGCAGCTGCAGGAGAGCTGTCAGCAGCTGCATGCCGCGCAGCACTCAGCTGCAGCTGGTGAGTGCTGCGCGATTTAACACAAAGAAATTAATGTAATATTTGTAAGATTCTGATGAGTTACGGATCAATAAATGCGATTTTTTTTGCTTGGAATATCAATAGAAGTTGAAAAGGTTGATATATGTTCATTTATTATACCCATTTAACTCTTTCTCGGGCACTCGTAGAATAATTATATAACTTAGCATATTTTTTGTTGAAACCAGTGTGTGTGGTTAGTTAAAAGATTAGCCCGTTTACAATCTTATCTAGGTGTATAATTCTGCGTATCATTTTATTCCGATTTTTTCTTTGACATTATTTATCATAGTATGAACTGTCGGGATTATATCACTATGTTTATGTCGCCGGCTTCCCAGGATACGAGTCAAAAACCCGACTCAAATTTGTTCAAACTGTTCTCATTTTGAATCTCGTAAATCAAGGAGTTCTGCTTTAAAACTATAATTAGTTTATTTGAAAACGAAAATCGTGCGTTATTGTAAAATGTCCATTCACTTTTTTTTTAATATTTGGTATGTTTGTACAGCTCGAGCACAGCTGGAGAAGCTGCACGCGCAGCTGCAGGAACACATGGAGAAGAGCCTCGCTACGCCAGCTGCTGGTAACGGTGCTGCTCTAGTGCCAGCGTCTGTGTTGGCTGCCTTCATCAAAGGTATCGCTAACATGTCGGAATATTAAACACTTATAAGTTCCCAGCTCATTCTTGGACGTAGATACTGATACGAGGCGTCCGCGAGGTGAAATCTTAAATCATTTTATGGTTTGACTATCAATGCTTGAAATCATTATCAAAGCCCATGGCCTGTTGATGAATTTAACTAGACTAGAGTCCTGAGTAAAATCTGGCGGGCACTGCCAGAAGAGCCCCTTGCATAGTATTTTGGAAAGTCGCTTTGGAAAAATGGGGCTCAGACTGGCCGAGATCGTGCCGTAACAATTGTTAATAGAACTTTTCTAACTAGGCAATTGTCTATGCATGTTTTAACCAAGTATAAAAGACAGCAACTTGCGTAGCAACAGGCATTGCCTATGAAAATAGAGACCTGGTGCTTCCATAGGTCCTCTTCAATATTTATATCTGATAAAATTTATATCTGATGATAGCCTAATTTATATCTGATCAAGTGCGGCCTTCAAGAGGTACCTTTTGCGTAACTACTGACTGATGCAAGATGTTGACGCGTACGAAGTGTCATTCAGGACCTTGAACTCGGAAGTTTCCTTATATTATAGTAACAATTTCCGTTAAAAATATTCGTGTACTTGAATGGATTTTTTATTTGTTTCTAATTTGTACAGCTTCTCACGTCGGACAAAAAAACAAGCTGGCTGAATATATAAATCTATCGATTTTGACAGTCAGTTTAGAAATGTATTCAATGTTTAGTGTACTAGTGTTTGTGTGGTGTTCTGCAATTTTTCTAGTTACATGTTTAAACTTGCATTTGAATAAATCAGTGAGGTCAAGCTTGTAATGAAATAACGATTGTTCGTGAGATGTTAATTTTTTATCCAGAGCGCCTAAATTCGTAAATATTTCAGCGAGACGAAGGAAAATTCGTGAAATTTCCACCATGTTCTTTATTTCGCATATTATTTTTCAAAATCATAGATTGGCATGAAATTTGACGTTGTTTTTGTGAATTTCTCGAAACGCTACCAGAAAATTCTTTCTCGGCTCCAGAAGAACTTTTCAAAATATTAAACTGTAATATTCATGTTTGTTGATGCGTGTGTGCAGGTTGCCGAGAGCACCAGCAGCTTCACGTTACTGAACTAGAAGCTGCTCTGGCCACAGCCCATCATCATCTCCAGCATCACGCTTCTCAGCACGCTCAGCAGGTTACTCTTTATATTTGATCATCATAGATTTTGTTTTTTTGTGTATTCCCTGCATTCTATAGGCGCGTTTACATGGGGTCAGTTGTGGCAGCCACTTAAAGTGTCGAGTACTCAGCGCTGCCAATTATCTGGCCACTGGCCTCGTGCTGAGGAGTATTGGCTGTTTCTGGGGGCACCAGCGAATATTTGCTACTTATTGACGAATTGGCATGTATTTAGAATAGTTGTAAACGTGTTTGGTTTTAGTCAATAGGTGCAAATATGATTAGTTTTAGTCAATAGGTGCAATCATGATTAGTTTTAGTCAATAGGTACAACCCCCCCGTGCCATCTCGCCCTTGTCGTGGGGGGGGGGTCCGGGACCACTACCCTATCATCAAGGCAAGCATCCGCCATATCTGGCGGGAACAGTGGCTGAACGTGGGAGAGAACAAACTAAGAGCAATTAAGGATTGTGTACGAGCGTGGAGTTCATCATACCAGAAATCCCGGAAGATGGAGGTAGCGCTGTGCAGACTAAGGATCGGTCACACGCGCCTCACTCACAGGTACCTGATCGAACGCCGTCCAATGCCGTATTGCAATGACTGTTTGGTACCCCTGACGGTCTTGCATGTTATGGCGGAGTGCCCGAGCCACAGTGATACCCGGCAAAACTACTACCCCAACACCACTGCTCTCAGCCCAAATGAAATGCTGTCTAGGATGCTCGGGGAAGTTCCCCGAAGCACCTTTAGAACTGACAACCTTAGACAATACCTAATCGAGTGTAACCTGCTGCCAGATATCTAGCACGGCACCTTGACAGAGGTCAGAAAAGACCCACACACCCGACAAGACGTCATATTCGTGTCATCATATTACTGGTTGAGATGAAATAGCAGAAGACGGATAGAACCTGCGCCTTGGAAATAAAGAAGCATACACCCTAGACCAGATGGATCAGGCCACGAGCCTGAAACCAACAAAGAAGCCTGCCGACCCTGCAAAACGAATATTGGACCTTCGGCGCGAAATAGACGACACTGATCTGAAGCGCTAGAAACCTCTCCCTACTACTACTACTACTCAATAGGTACAATCACGATTAGTTTTGTCAATAGGTGCAATTATGATTAGTTTCAGTCAATAGTTCAAATACATGGTTCAAACATTCTTGGTTTAAGTGGCCAATGCACGGTCAGTAGGTGGACACGTGACCAACTGACAGCCGCCTGATTGGCTGAGAATGAAGAGAGCTTAGATTCATTTAAAGACATGGTTCGCTTGGGTCTTACTTGTGTGGAGTTAGATACCTGACGAAATCTGATGAATTTTTTTCCGACTCCACATTTTTTGATCCAGCAGTCATAGACACCCATACACCATACTAGAACTATAGGTACTATCAAATGTACATACCATTTTTATTACCAAGTTAGTTTAAGGACAATAGCAATTTAAATTATCTGAAAAAATGTAATTCTTCGATTATAGTAATATTCGTGGTCAACTGACGGTAACTCTCGTTCCGCGGGGCTTGAACTACGAATAGCATTGACAACGTCTAATGTATCTACTACATTTCACAAAAAATTTTCGCAAGACATGTCTCTAATGTCTACTTTTAGATGTCTGGTACCCGAAATAATCATGCCAAAAACTGCTACTCTCACCTAACCACTGCGTGCTTTAAACACGGTGTGTACCGGTCATGGAAAACCTGAAAGTCATGGAATTTAATTTTTCATTTTCCTTGCCTGGAAAGTCATGGGATTTTATTTCAGGTTATGGAAAGTCATGGAATTTGCAAATAAATAAAGAAAAAAATTAATTGTTTTTCTGTGCTGTGTATGTTGACCCATTAATGCCGAGCGGTTTCATTTGGAACCAGCGGAGAAAAATTTATTCATAATAAAATTGTAAGATCAAATAAATATACAAGTGGATGCGTAGGTTTGATACACATCTTGTACATGGCAAAATTTGGTTCTGATGCGCTGACTACTCTCTTTTCCTTTAACATTCAAAGATTACTAGAACCAGGTCATGGAAAAGTAATGGAATTTTTTTCGAAATACCGGTACGCACCCTGATAAAAGACGCGATCTGGCGGCCAAACGTTAGAAAATATTGGAAGCTAATAATGGCGTCTTTTATATGCGTACATGACAATTCAACTATTGGCGGCCAGTTGCGGCCCCGCTGTCACAACTTGCCCCGTGTCAACGCACCTTTTCCTCCCTAAGTAGCTGGTGAATTTTTGCTGAAACAAGTGTTCATATTTTATATTATTTATGTATGGAGATTTATAGGTTTAGTTTCAGCAGCAAATTTCTATCGCTTGTTTACATAAGATTATCTACATTATTTTTTCTTGCAGATGCGTCGTGCTGAAAAAGCTGATAAACTCCTCGCTGGCATCTTCGTGGAGAACGCGGAGCTCATGCGCGCCTTACACCTCACAGAGGCGCGCCAAAAACGCGCTGAGCAAAAGCTGCGTTCAATCAACTAACTCACGTCTTCTCGGCCCGGTGGCGTCTTTTCGGCCCGTCCTGACGTCATCTCGGCCCGGCCTGGCGTCTTCTCGGCCCGACCTGGCGTCTCGGACCGTTTTGGCGCCTTATTTGATCAGACTTGACATACTCCTGACCCAGATATTGGATACCACTTATTTATTCTTTAAATGAAACTCTCTTCAAACGTGCAGCTTCAAATCACTCATCCATGTAACGTAATCTGACACTCATTATCTTATTCTTATATAAAAAATTGAGATTTCATCAAGAATTTGCTCGAATTTCCTCAGGTTCACAAAGTGCATCATTTTATGAATTTCATGACCGAATTTTTGCAATAATCATATATGCTATTCGTATAGTATCGCTAATGGTTTGTCTCTCTTTTGGCTTCAAATGAAGAGTATGGTTTATACAATTAACAATGTTCTCATATGAACATAACCTCTATGTGTAGGTTAAGGCTTTCTCTTCGTTTACTTCGACACATTGCACCTCATAAATGTATAATTATTTCTGACTCTATGTAAATTCTATGGATTCTATATATATCTGTAAATATTGTGTTTATGTTGTGTGTTTGATTATTTAGACAGTAGTTAATTATACTTGGAATAGTACGAGTAAATTTCACAATTACCTACGCAAATGTTCATTACATCATCGAGTTATAGATGTTATAATCATCGCCTTTGGAAAGAATTCAAATAATATTATTCAGATCGAAGTCTCTTCCTTGGGTCAAAAATTGTGTCTCTTTGAACTTAACATAAAATATTTTAAATAGATGTTCAACTTATGTAGGAAGTTTTGAAAACTATAGGAAGTATAATCGAGTGATTAAATCGGTATATGAGTGACTTTATGAATAATTGTTGAAAAATTGGCACTTTTGTAGTAAGTTACTTGACTTTTCTATGCCATGTTAGCGGAATTTTTGTCTGTAATGGTAGCATATATATTACAAACACTGTTTTATCGTGTTATGTGGCGGGTCTATGCTACCATTGTGCCTGTAATGATAGCATATATATTACAGACACTATTGCATCGTGGCGTGTTGATATTACAGACACTGTTTTATCCTGTTGTGTATAATGTCTGTGTAATCTGCCATCTTGTAACACAGTTTCCCGCTATAGACGCTGTGTCAACCAAGACTCACTTACGCATCCGTCCGTAAACTGTAGAGTTAGTTTATTCTGTCCGTTTTCCGTTTGAATCTATTGTCATGGTATGTTAATGTTTAACAATTCTTAGTGTTGTGTCTGTTTTCCAAAATTTATCTGCCATGTTTTTTTAAGAAAGAGGATTTTGCTGTAGTCCTAATCAATTTTCGTATGATCAGCGCCTTATGATACCTTAAATTTGTTATTAAGATGACTCAAAGATATTAAGAAGACTCGTATTCTATACATTGATTGCTTTATTAAAACAGAGTCACAAATATTTGCATCGTCTTATAACGTGTGTTATGTTCACTTGAAATTTTGTGCTATTTGTTTTTCCCTCGCCCTGTTGTTCTGAAGAAGCCCTGACAAAATGTTTTTATCTCGCCCCCCGTATCTGTTGACTGGATTTTGCTGTTCGGCCCAACACTTCTTTGTGAGGGTTTTTGAACGATCTTCTCACTTGGTGTTGGGTATGAATTTTTATGGCTTGACGTAAACTATATCTACGTTTAAACAATTATTTTTTTCAATCGTTGATGTAATATTACGTTACCATTGCACAAAACTCAATAACCTAACCTTGAGGTCTCGTACAAATGTGATATAGAAAATGCCTTATTTTTCGATCATTTTACTAGTAGGTTCATTAAAAGTGCGTTAGCATTCCTTGCATAGATTGTCTTTTTGCGCTTCTCTTCCACAGTTCTGGACTGTATACTTGCAGATTGTTGCCGAAATAATATACGTTGTTATTTCTACACCAATCCTAGTGAATTAGGTCAGTCAGCTAACTTATCAGGCTTTTGACTGACTGATCTGATTAACCTGATCAGGTTAATCATTAACCTGACTGACAGGCTTTTGATCAGGTTAATCACTAACAGCATTCGCCGTTCCCAGCGCGTTAATTACTGGCTGGGTAAATGTTTTCGGTTGGCCATACCCGTGTATTATATAAGATGAATGTTTCAGAACTCTTGTTCACTCAATATTTATATTCGTCAAATTGGCTCTTGTTTGGCATCTTTTGGTAGTAAAACTCATGAGCAGGTTGAAAAAGTGAAACTTGTTTCAATTTAACATTGGATTATTCATGGTATAGTTCAGTTTACGTTTTCTTCGATCTGTTCGTACTTTTATGAGAGGAACTTTGTACCAGTATTGTAGTTGCCGTCCGCTTGGTAAACTCAGTATCTTCTTATTTGCCCTGAATGACGAAATAATCCCAGTTCCTGTCACGATCATGGCCGGTTTCACCACGAGTGTTCAGAAGCTCACGACTTGACATGATCACGACTTGCTGATCTAATTCCTATATTCTGTTTACAATTTCCTTTGCTAACTCTCATTGAATTATTGATTTCTCAAATTTTTTAAATTAAAAATATCCATTTGTTTCTTGGTCTGATCTCCTAGTATACTTTTTTTCTGTAGACTTTATATCAATTGTAAACATTTTTTCAAAAGACAATATCGCAATAACAATTCACTTTTTACATTTCATTTTTCATCGAGTTTTAACTTTATGATTGTCTGATTTACCACAAATAACCCTCTGCGAATTGACAAAATTTCATGTTAACGGCCTTTATTGAAAGATATGCTCTTAGTTGTGCTGGCTATCCTGTTGCTCACATATTCTACAATTCACCTGTACAAATTTTACTTCAATTTTGTTTTCTTTCTATGCATCTCGAGAACGTTCTAATAGATAGTTCTATTTTAATTATCATTTTGTAGCGTTCATTGATTTATCTGCAATCTGTTACATTATATTCTGACATCAAAATTGTATTAATTCCTCGATCTTAATGAGAGCGTCCAAACATACCGGTTTTAGTTCTAAAACGGCGGTTATTCGTTATAGGTGTCAGTGTTTATTCGACACTTGCCTTGTGTTAATTCTACCGAGTAATTACAACGAATTTTTGTTAACAATTAACTTCGTTTATGTATGCCGCGGCATGACCACAGCTTACATATTCCGCACGGGACGTGAACATGAGGCAAATGCCACAAAAATTGCATAATCTCATACCCGAGGCGCTGGTTTCTGTTGATGTTTGATTCAGCATTGTCAGGGATCAGAATATTCATGTTTGTTACTACATCAAATGTAAAGATCACATCGTTTTCGCTTTGACTAAATTTCAAATATTCATGAAGTGAAACATTTAATGAGAGCCGTTTCAATTCATCTGGAACGCGCTTTAAGTTGATACATTTGGTGTCCTCATGTTGGCGTTTTGGGGCTAACGATCCCACGGACTCCGAGTATTTTAGCACCTGTAAGACTAATACATGTTATTATCCATTATGTTTTGCAAATTGGAAAGTAACTCTACTGCATCCTACGATTTAGCGAAGCCTTAGGACTACAATCGGGCATTATGTGTTAAAAGATGAATAAATTGATCATCAACTAATGTCTTTCCAGGACGAAAATGTGTTCATACTTGCGACGATGGCATTTTTACCGTCGTGATTTGGTTTATGGACTCTCTGAATAAAACGACTTTTATTAAAGTCTCAATGCAGCTGTAAACTTCTTGCTTGACAAACACCTCGAAAGTAAAGGCTGCTATGAGCGGGGCTGTCGCTGCATCGTATCGCGACCCGCATGGTCTCGTCGAGAGCGGAGAGGAGCCGCCGGGCTTGGAGAGTCTCTCTCTCGACTTCGGCCCCTACGAAAAAGTGCATCGTTGGACCTGCATGCCCGAATGTGACGAGTTTGTGGGGGCGCGACGCAGCAAGCATACGGTCGTCGCATACAAGGAAGCCGTGTACGTCTTTGGTGGCGATAATGGCAAGTGGATGCTCAATGACTTGCTGCGTTTTGATGTCCGGGAGAAGTCTTGGGGACGCGCCTTCTCAACCGGATATCCGCCCGCTCCGAGGTTGGAATTTGTTGGGAGAACCCATCAAAAAAGCGAGAGTTTTAAAAGAAGCTATGGATTTAATTGTGTTTTTTGACCACTTTTGTCTTTAAAAAAGTTTAAAATGCAGCCCTTGATCAATAATCATTATTTCATCACTGATGACTATTAGTTCAGTGTAATCCTAACTGTATGTATAAATTAAATATATTAAGTCGAGTTAAGGAGCATATTTGGTTCCTATGCTCAGTTAGAAGTAGAACATCAATTCTAACTCTTGTACATGAGTATGTTGATGTGTGCCAGGTATCACCACTCCGCTGTGGTGTACGGCTCCAGCATGTTCGTGTTCGGAGGCTTCACGGGCGACATTCACAGCAACAGCAACTTGCGTAACCAGAACGATCTCTACGAGTACCGTTTCCAGACTGGCCAATGGAGTCAATGGCGCTACCTTGCAGGGCACCCCAACTCTGAGGGTGTTAGGTGAGGTCGCATGTGCTCATGGTTGACATAAGAATTATCTATTGTTTCCATGGCTTCGAGAAATTGAGACCATAGGCCATATGCTGTTCTTCATTATTGTGGTGTATGATCGAGATATTTCCATTCATTATCTGATTATGTAGTTATGGTTTATAGCCGTCGCTCATATTGTCATGTTCCGTCTTCACAATAATTAAATGGATTTTTTTTACTTATATTATTTGTCGCTGTTTTTTCGATAGCGCCCCAGTGCCGCGCTCAGCTCACGGCGCCGCTGTATATGACGGCAAACTCTGGATTTTCGCGGGCTACGATGGGAACTTCCGCTTGAACGATCTATGGGCCATTCCACTTAATGTGAGCATTATAAAGCTACTTCTTCTAGTATGTTATGTTTAGTTTGTAGCGGCGTTTAGTTATGTCTCATTCTCATGACCATTCCATTCTCGAAGCGATTTGCAATTATCGCTTCGAAAACTTGTCACTTGCGATGTACTTTCGTTTCGTATCGTTTGCTGAAGTCTGTGTTATTGAATAAACTTTTCCTTGTATCAGGATTCATTTTTTCATAGAGGTGTATAACTCAATCAGGAGTTATGGAGCTATTCTCATCACCGTCTCCTCCAATGCGTTTTCAATCTGAATTTTTAATTGATAGGCTTAATGAATAATTCACTTGACAGGACGCATTTGATTTACCAATGAATTAATTTTTCCTTGTACGACCACTACAAATTGCCAATTAAAGTTATTATGAGCAATTAAAGCGATTAAAGTTATTATATTAAATAAAGTTATTATACTTTAATCGCGACGAAAGCGATTAAAGTTATTATGAGGCCTACTAAAGTATTGTGATAATTTCAGGGAGAGCCCCGCGTGTGGGAAGAAATGCCCCAAACCGGCGAGGTGCCTCCAACGTGTTGCAACTTCCCCGTGGCCGTGGCACGGGATCGTATGTACGTCTTCAGCGGCATGAGCGGCGCTAAAATCACCAATTCTCTCTACTACTTCACATTCACTGATAAATGGTGGGTGTGAACTTGTCTTGTTGCTCACTTCATGCTCGTTATTAGTCAAACAAAACGCAAAAAGTGATGGACACCCGTGCTACAACTTCACCATTCAAATACAAATTCAAATTAAATACACGATCCTCAGTAACGCGGGTACACCGACTGAACTATTCATGCTACTTCAAAACCTCGGTTATCACCACTTCTACTTATAGTTTGGGTCCGATAATCTTCAGTATTCATTTGCTTGTAAATTAGTATCCAAATGTCTTTACTTAACTGGTGATTACTGTTTCGTCGCTTTACCCTACTAGCTTCTTGTAGTACATCTGAGGTCATTTTTTGTGTGTGATATTATTCAATTAGTTAGATACATAATTATATTTACTATCACTCCGTGTACTAATCATGTACACGAATAATGAGTAAATGAGCATACTAATCATGCACTAATGAGTAAAGTAGACTCCTATTTCTTTTTTGGCGACCTAACTGATTACATGTGAGCAAGTTATTCTTTTGTGCAGCTGGACGCGGATCTGCACGGAGCAAGTGATATGCAGTGCGCCTCCTCCGCCCCAGCGGCGCTATGGCCACACCATGGTCGCCTTCAACCGACACCTCTACGTCTATGGTGGAGCTGCTGACTCAACCCTACCCAACGACCTACACTGGTTCGAAATAATTATTATTCACTGCAGTTTTAAAATTATCTAATTTTTCAAATTAGATTCAACTCTCTTCGAGATAGTAATCGGTTAGTTACCGAAATTAAAAACTACTAAATCTACATACCTGAAATTGTTACACTAGGCACTATGGATCTTTTTTTCATTGTCTCAAACTCTTCTCATTCAGAGCGTATTTCAGAGATAGTCAACGAGAGGTGTTAAAAAGAAGGAGAAACATGAAGGCTTCTTTCTTCCAGTTTTGACTTGGACAGTCAGACATGGAGCGTGGTACAGCCATCCTCCGACAGCGCGGTGCCCAGCGGTCGCCTCTTCCACGCTGCTGCCGTCGTAGGCGACGCAATGTACGTCTTCGGTGGGACGGTCGACCTCAACGTGCGCAGCGGCCACATGTACAGGTTCCAAGTACGGAACTCAATTGCCGACTCTCATTAATTTGTCAGGCTTTAAAACCCTCTTTTGTCACTCCAGCAAACTTAACTTAAAAATATGTTAATGTACCGTGTTTTTTTTATTAGATTTTGTATCCGCGCAAGTTATAGACGGAAGAAAACCTTCAAAATTTGGCATATTCATAAAGCAAATGTACGCTTATCATGATTCATACAAATATCGATTTTAGGTTTAAATTGTGGTCATAAAAACAATAAATTTGTAATAAATTTGAGTCATATAAGTTAATACAAAATTTAACAAATTCGACATATCTCCTTGCCAAATAATAACTTACGTATTTTATTTTTGTTGCCACTGATATTTATGTGGGATGTAGGAGCTGCAAGTGTTGCAGTTCTCAGAGTCCTTAGTGTACGCTGTATGTGTTGTGAGCAGCCCTAAAAGAATTCATGCTGTATGTCTATGTGTTGTGAGCAGTCCTAAAAGAATCCATGGTGTATGTTGTATTGTTATGAGCTTTCCTAAAAGAATTAATCGTGTATGCTATATGTGTTGTGAACAGTCCTAAAGGAATTCATGGTGTATGTTGTATGTGCTGTTGGCAGTTCTCAAAGTACCCGAAGTGTACGCTGCATGACGACTACCAGCGTCTGCTGACCACAGCGCAGCTCGCTGACGTTCACTTCTTGGTATCAGACGTGGATCCTTCACCAGGCCAGAGGCTCGAGAGTTTGGCAACGCCCACTCATGGTTGGTGCTCTTTAAATTTGATGATACGTTGTTTACCATTTATAATTCAGGAAGTTTGTTAGTTATCCAAAAGTTTATAATGTATAATGGCTTGTTCCATTTGTTCACAGTAAGCATTGTAAAGAAATAAACTTTCAACTTCCAAAAGTTGAGCAAATGTGAAAGCAATTAGTTTAGGAGAAAAACAATAAATGCTCAACTTCCACATAGAAGGACTGTTTAATTAAAATTTCCGATAAGTACCGTAATGCAAATAAATAGTGTTCTTATTTATTTAATTTTTGTACGTGATCTTTATTAAAGAAGTATATTTATCAAGTTTTTTTTTGCTTTAATTGATAGGAAATAATATTTTTGAACAGAAGGCGACGAGACCGTCGTCAAAGCGCACGCCGTGTTCGTGGCAGCTCGCTCGCCTGTGCTCCGGGAGAAGATACAGCTGGCCATGAGAGAACGAACTGCGGCTCAGGAGCGACTAGGAGTAAGCAGACCAATGTATTGCAACGTTATGTGTAACAACAGTGTAACTTGCCCCGAAATATAATTGAAAATATTTCAATGATAGTCAATGATTGATGAAGTAATGAAGGGATAGAACAGGAGAAATTGATCAGAAGTTGAATTGGTTTCTGACGGCATCTCTCGTTCGGCGCATTTTCGTATTACGATTTACAGACTTTATAGTGTTATCAAGTTTTATCCTGCGATTATCTGTTGTGTTTCTTATCTGCTTTGAAAGGAACAAAAAGAAACTATATTTGAAAACTTCATTCCGAATTCCAAAACTGTCAACCAACGAACGAGTTAAAGACTTTTGAATATTGACTCTCAGGGTGCTAACTGTCTCATTCACTTCATCCAGAACGATGTGCCGACCCCAACACTGGATTCGAAAAATCCCTTGATCGTGCGTTTACCAGGAGCGAGAGCTGACGCCTTCAAGGTTGTACTTCGCTACATATATACTGACCGCATAGAGCCGCAACTGGAGCTCTCAGGTGGCGAGACAGGTGAGTTGATGCCTTAACATATTCTACTTGGAATACATTTTCGGGAACAAGTGTGGCTCAGACTATAGCCAAGATGTGCGCATAGACTTTATTATATTATTGAAGGAAGAAATTTCAACATTCTTACTTCTTAGGGGCGCACAAGACGTCAGCTGATACCAAAGTATTGCTCATCATGCGCGTGTACCGGCTCGCACTGCAGGTGCGTTCACATTTTATTTCGATCCGGATAATATGTGGATAAATATATTTATTAATAAAGCTAAGTTTTAAGTACCTAAATTTTCGATAGAGTAGGTAATGAGGTAAATTGACGATATCCATTACTGAGCTTGGCAACACCCTCTAACCTCGATCGCATATTTCTGACAGAACGCATCATGAGCTAAATTCTGCAATTTAGGTTTACAAGAGAATACAGTGCAGATGAATTATACAAGAAATTCTTTCAATATGTTAGTAATTTTTGTTCATCTAGTTAATCATTCCTTTAGAGGAAGGCTCTTTTTGAAATATGTACACTCAATATTCGGATTATAATCATGAACACTTCACTGCAGTGGTGCCTGCGGGGCCTAGAACAGCTGTGTATGCAGTTCATGGGCAACAGAATCAACGAGCGCAATGTTCTCCACGTGCTTTGTGACGCTCACACTACCTCCCTCACGCCCATCAAGGAGTTCTGCTTGAAGGTACGTTTTGTGTGTATTGTATTGTATTTGTGATGGACGCACATAGTACCACCTGATTAATTATTTAATCTTTTCTAAACGTGTTTTCAGTGCATTTATTGCGCCCGTCAACAGAAATACAGTGGGGGGAAATAAATATTCGTACACTTGAAAAATCGTATTTTATTGTATGTAAGTACACAAACTTAACAGGAAAAGTGATTTAAATTATGTATAGAGACGCATCAACAAACATTGAGAATCTTAAGGTGGTGTGCCAAGAAGAATGGTATAAAATACCAGTCAGCATCTGCAAATCATTGGTCGAGACGTATAGAAATAGACTGGTGACTGTTTAGCTGAATAAAGGGTATTCAACCAAGTATTAAATTAAAATAATGCGGATTTATTGTTTTGTACGAATACTTTTTTCACCCGGAAAGTGAACATGTTGCATTGTTTTTTGTTGCATTGAGATTTAATTTCTTTTGATAGTATTTTTGAATACTATGCGTCTCTATACATAATTTAAATCATTTTTCCTGTTAAGTTTGTGTACTTACATACATTAAAACACGATTTTTCAAGTGTACGAATATTTATTTACCCCCACTGTATTTCATCCCCTGACAACTAAGTTAATGCTATGCAGTCATTCTGCTTTTGCTTAAGAAACTAAAAAGTAGTCCTTACATATTGAATGATAGTGAAAGTTTATGCTTCACTTTGTCCTTAACTGGCGCTGGGCCAAAAATCCAAGGCATCTAACGGCAGGGGTTTTAAACTGTTCTGTTTCATAATATTATTGTGTAACGAATATTACACACTATTTTGTTTCCGAGTATTGGACAATAATGGCACTACTAAAATATTTAAATCTAAAGCTGTGTGACGGTATATTGTCCTCATTTTTGCTTTGCGTCTGCGTTGCCTGCAGTACATCGTTAAAGATCTGAACTGGAGAGCAGTGGTGATGTCTCGTGAATTTGAAGAGCTCGAAAAGTCTCTCATGGTCGAGATCATTCGCCTCAAGCAGTCCCCGCCACCAGCCCAGCTCAGTGCCTCCCTTCGCCCACCCGACCCTCCGGCTGACCAGGGTGCCCCGGCCGCGGGTCTTTTCCTTTTTACAAATTATCATAGCTAATGTACTTATTATTTTGCCATATTACGCACATAATTCTCACGAGTGATGTTTTTTAATTGTCCCGAATTATGGAATAGTAAATTCAGATTAAGTTGTTTCTAATCAAATTGAACACCATTGTATCTGTTCTCTGATGTTTGATATATTTGCTTGAAGTAATTTTTCATCATCGAGTTCATTCTTTGAAACTTTCAGGTCAGCAAATGCCGCGTTGCCTGCAAGAAGACCTGCTGGCTGTGGCGGAGCGCCGCGTGTGCGCAGAATTTTGTGACGTGAGACTTCTAGTCGGCGACGTGGCCATTCCTGCTCATAAGGCCGTCTTGGCTGCACGATGTTCTTACTTCGAAGCCATGTTCCGCTCCTTCATGCCCTCAGATAATACCGTCAAGGTATCTTTCTAAATGGATCTCGTCAATATTTTCTAAGTTCTAATGGTTATGATTTTGCTCGATATGCTTCTGAAATCTCCAGCCGGGCGAATGCATCCGTTTGTCTTCACTTTTGAAATTGAATACAGATCAGCTTACTGTTACTTAGCGTTTTCTGATTCACAACTTGTAAACGAGCAGCTGGCGATAGGAGAGCTCGTGCCATCAGTGCAGTCCTGCGAATCGCTACTGCGCTACATCTATAGTGGTGCTACGGACATGCCTCCCGAGCACTCATTATACCTTTTCGCCGCGCCCTATTTCTATGGTTTTACTAACAGTCGACTTCAGGTATGTCAACCAGAAAACTGCTGAACGATGACTTTGCAAAGTGTTCATAATCGCACGATCTATGTTTGATCGAATCATTGCTCTAAATATTTTTTCAATAAATGCAAGTGATTGGCATTCAAAATTTTCCGAAAGTCCTTTGATTTTCTCTGTAACTTACATTCAGGCGTTCTGCAAGCAAAACTTGGAGATGAACGTCACGTGCGAAAACGTCATTCAAATCTTGGAGGCAGCAGACCGAATTCAAGCTCTCGACATGAAAAAATACGCGCTGAATTTGCTGGTTCATCACTACCCACGGGTAAGATTAATCGCTTCATTGACGTAACGGCGGTAGGAAATAACTAGGAGTCTCTTATTAAGCATAGATGCTAAAGCGATCTTCAGAATGGACGACTGGAGCTAGCAATCATACTAATAAACATTTGACTTTCCAGGTTTTCTCATCTGGTGGCTTACGATCGCTATCACGGGAATTGTTGCTTGATATTCTGGAAGCATTAGCGGTGCACCAAACTATTACATCGCATTCTCCTTTGTCCACGTCCCGCCACGATATGTCTGCATCACCTAACCTAACAACACACCAACTGGGCGGGGCAGCTAATGCGACGCCTCCTCAATCTGAACCCTAATCATCATCCGGAAGATCTATCCTTGAAGAGTGGGCACCTACTGATGCTGGTGATCCGATTGGTTATCGATGACTCAATTATTTGAATTATTTCGCTCGAACGCAAATGAATATTCCTTGACAGATGGCAATGGAACATGTGGTAGAATAGTTAAGTTCAAAGTAAAAATGGGTAATGTTGGTAATTACGTTGATTTAGACTGAAAATCAAGAGTTCTTGTTACTGCTGTAAAATAAAGGTTTACTAAGTAATGTTTTCATACCCTACATACACCATAAATATTCCATGAAAGGGCAAAATTGTTCAGCAACGCACTCTTTCATTCAGCGCAACATTGCTATTATTCATGAACAAATGTTTAAAGGATATTAAAAATGTTCTTATTTATTCATTTATTACGAATGAAGAGTTGCATCCACTCACGAGCACCTGAAGAGGGGAAAAAATTTTTCAAATTGTTACCGTCTTGCCATCGGAAAAAAAATTTTCAGAGATTTATTTCAATCTAATTATTCAGCAATACTTTTATTGCCACTATTATTCATCACTTGGATAGTTCTTACCAGGTTTACTTGGACCTCGCCCTCATCTTCCTGCGCTTCCGCTTCAGCCTCCGCATACGCTTCTTCCGCCACTGTTGGTGTTAGAAAAAATGTTGATTCTTTTCTCCAGGACATCTCTTTCTATTACAAATTCTATTTTCGCACCATAATCATGTCTACTAATTACGCTGTATGTTCCACTGTTCTATTTTCATCAGGTTTCTTTACATTTGTCACCTACGCTGCATTTACAACTTACCTTGGCTCTCATTGCGTTACCGGGGAGAACAAAGCTTGCAACCTGCAAAAAGGAAAATAAGAGGTTATGCACGTTTGGTACTTGTAGTTCTTCTAAACAAAAAAATATTGATCCGATTTCCACAAAAAAAAAACTATACATTAACTGACATGGTGTAGAAAAATCATTCCGGAATGTAAGCTAAAAGCTCCGGTTGAATCCTCTGAAGGGCAGTATGCACAAAACCAGTGATCGCAATATGACGTGAAGATAAGAACGAAGAGCGATAGGAGGGTGTTATGTATTAGCGCACTCACGCGTTTGATACTGCAACAGAAACTTTATTGGAGATATCCACCTAAAACGGTGTATTCTCGCGACCCACGAGTCAAATAAGCCTGCGTCATCAATCTTTTTCAACTGATGTCAATATCTAGATACAGCCGATGCATTGAAATACAGGTTTATTCTAAATAACAAGCCCAAATTATTCAATTCTTATCCGAGTATAAATTTATAATTCATACACAAATGGAAACTGAAGAAGTTACCATTTTTTCTTCAACCTATTCAGACGCGGAATTTGGTGTTTTGGCGTTTGACCAAGATCACCTGATCTCGCCCCCTTGTGACCATTTCTTGTGGTTGCTTCAAAAAAGCTGTTTGATCTGAACCCTGTTTGATCACTGCTCCTGTCCACTCGGCAAAGAAGATCTACTTTCTCGTGTGTCGAAATTTTGGCTACGGTTTGAACTTTAAAGGTTTGCCATGCAGCACACAGGGCACATACTCAAAATTTATAATTAAATAAAATAAAAACTTTGAATCTTTCTCCATTGGGGTATAAATCATGCATTTTGAATTCATACCTAAACAAATAGGTAGTTATTGAATTGGGTGCAGCATTTAAAATAACCCAGTATCCTTCACCAAGTTAGAACTTGTTTACTAGCAATTCAACCCGAGAATGTTCAACTTCTGGTAATGTTAATTTTTTTATTTAGTGCTTTGTATATATGATATACCTCCTACGCTTTAACAATTTCATTCTCACTGGGAAAGGCAATACAATGTACTTGGAAATTTCTTCTAATTGCAATTGATTTCCAGCGATTTACATCGTGAACATAGTACGGTTCTCAACTAGTTCTTGATCACACTCTACATCAAATGAGGAAAGTTAACAGTTGCCGTAACCCAGCAAAAGCTGATGGGTCAATGGTAGGGAGTAGGGGCAACCATGAGGAAATTTTCTTCTACAAGCTGTTTTGATATAAGAAGAACCAAGACCCCAAAAAAATGGAACTCAAGAATAAATTGCTTCATAGTGGAGTAATAGATTACATTCCACACATCCATCAAGAAATGTTCAATCTTTAAAGCAAAATGTCAGCAGCTATAACAAGACCTATCAATAACAGACATAGCACAATACAAGATGGAGTACTAATATAGCCAACAATGATCAAGAGCAAATTGACAAGTTAAACTAATATATGCATGTAAGGCAGATGTGACCACAAGTCCACACTAAGTCTTGTTTCAATTGTTGTAAATTGAATTGTCTGAACTTCAAAAAATAATAAACTCTCAAGACTCGGGAACACTACATCACCCATGTGACTTATAGTGTACAATATGCGGCTACCAAATTATTCATCTTTAGTTAAAAGAAATGTATATATCCAGCAACTATGTCAAAATTTTCAAAAACTTTTAATTAGAAACTTGTCACAGATGTGATCACTGGATATTAAAAGAAAATCAGACATTAGTGACGAACAATTGAGAAAATGTAAGAACTCAAATGTCAACTAAAGGCAGCAATCCATCATGGCCTGAGACGACTATGCACAAAACAAATATCAAGGATATCAAGAAAAATGAACATGGTAAAGCTCAAATTCATCTATATAACATGATAACATCTGTCTTGTATTTACTGGGACAAACTTTGTATTGTCACTGGTGTGGCACTGATGCTTTCAGACTAGTAAAAACCTCAGTTTTAAATAGAAAAACTATAACAGCAAGTGCAGCCTTTTGATCTATTCAATTACTTCAAGAAGAACTGCTCCAGCATGATTTCTTTGTACTTTCCAATCCACTCAAATAAACATTATGCAACCAATGCATTATAATACATCAACTGAGTAAGCAACTCCTTTCCCAATTTCCTAAAATAAACTAATAATTTTCCAGATATGCAATATGCTCAAGATTTTTCCACTTATGCAGGTTTATGAAGCACCATTGATCACCAGTTATCAGTTATCCCATTACTTCAATCAGCTATAGATACCTAAACAAATAATGGTCATACATGCACACAGCCAGACACCAGCTGCAGGATGCATCACTTCTTCTAATTGCTGAAAGTGCTGCTGAAGAATAAATTAACCCTGGACTGTGCGCACTTCAAGCAGCAAGTGAAGTTTCTACTTGTCCAAAACCACCACTAGCACTTATCCAACATTTCTATCTTCAGGACCCACATTTAAGATTTCCCCCTTTAAGTGTAGGTAGTGAATTGTCTTCTTTAGAGCAAACTATCAGCACTTTTTATTCAGCAGGCATCAACTACACAGCACTTGTTAGCAGGCTTCAATATAATATAAACAATACATTTGTAAAGACGTATAACTATTAACAATGGCTTTTGTTATTAATTAGTTATAAGAAACTTCTCATTTCAGTTGTAACTAGGCTAGGCCTAGTTGTGTAGTTTTAATTGTACTAGCAGCACATTAAGTGTAATATTTCTATCAGGGCTGAACTTGCTGAAGTGACTAAGTAGAAACTACCAGACCAATGTGGAATATCAGGTAGAATTGTCCAAAAATTACAGGGAAGAACAAATTTTTTTTAAATTAGACAAAAATATGCAAGTTCTGATTCAAAAATCCACCAGCTGACCAGCAAATTACCTAGTTTTCTGTTTAAAAACAAGAAAGCATACATTTGCTTGCAATGTGCAGGGTGGTTACAGTACTTCTGAGTACCAAGATTGGCACAGGTTTAATCCCAGCTCTGTGTGCTAAGTTCTGGTAAGAATCGGCAAGGAGGCCAGGTGGTTAAGCAAAGCAGAATTGAAGCAGTGAGTCACGAGTTTGAGACTTGCCGCGAAATGCTGTGAATGTTCTGCGATGTAAAGAATCGGGGACAGGCCTACCGCCTACGGCCTAATAAACGCTGAAACTGCTATTATGATCTTTAAAAATTATTTACCGATTGGAATAAATTTAAACCAGCAATTTTCAGATATATCTCAATATTCCATTTACTAGGCCGAGGGCCAAAAGGCAACTCATGGTCATTTGTCATGTCATCAACAGTACTGTACAAGACTTTACTCTAGTACAGAGTAGAGTAGGATAATTTAGATTGCAAAAACAGAGGCAAACGAAGGACAAGGCGACAAGCTTCACTCTAATTTCTTAAGAGTTAAGACTCGAGTTGACATGACATTCATTTCAAAACAAATACAAAAAATGCACAAAGAAATATTGTGTGGTAGCATTTCCAGCATTCATTCATGACGCATATAATATATTAAATTTAGATCAATAGAATTGAAGAGATAGCTACCTAAAAAGTGAACAGGCTACATTATTTGAAACTTGCTTAGGTATCCGTATACGTTATGATAGAATCCGTAATCGTGATGAGAGGATAATTAGGTACATATTCCTTAATTCAACTTCCTTAAAAAAATCATTGCGTTGCATGAAACAAAGTTTATATAAACGGATCCTACACGGGCGATAAGTTTCCCATTCCGCGTCCGAATTATATTATTAAAGAGACTTGCGGAATATAATAACATTAACTGACAAATTACGGTAATTTCTGCCACTCATTAGCACGAGAATGAGACGAACGTCAAGGCTCAAGCCCTCAGGCAACAGCACCTAAGTCGTCAGAACAATGACACAGGATTGAACAACCGTGAAACGCAACACACAGCACCAAAACGGTATATGTTTTACTCATAGAACATCAGAAATAACAGCTGGCAGAACTTTAAGAGTTGCAACAAACAAATCAACACTTACCAGCCACGAGCAAATAAGTTCTTGATGGGACGCCGACTCTCAATGTGATCTCAGAATCTAGAATACGCAACGAGAGAAATTTAAGATGTTGCCATCCAAACTTGTAGGAAATTTTCTGTCTGATAAATCTACTGTGGCGAAAATTTTGAATTTTGGGAATTAAATGATTAAGCAATTTAATAACTACTACTATGCAAAACACTAGAATAATGAAAAAAGTAGAATAAACAATAAATCTGCAATAGATAGGACTTATTTTGCTGATTTAATTTATTTGAGAGGCATTATTCCGAAAATATATAATTAAAATTTATTTTCTTGAGTTTGGCTTTACTTCGGAATTTTAAATATTTGGTGAGAGAAGAAAATTTTATATGTTAAGTGAATGAGATTTGTTTCGTTGTAAGAATATTTAATTCTAAAAAGAAGTTGTTACTTCAGTTGAATTCTGTATTTCAAAATTATTTCTTAAAAAATTGGTTTCTTACTTTTTATAGGACGATTAACTTCAAGATCGGTCATTTAATCAATATATTTGATCATACACTGTTCTCTAAATGATAAAATTAACAGATTTAGTTCGAATTATGGTCGATATCAATCAAATTTGTGAAAATCAATTCCTTTACTAACTCAAGCGACCATCTGTAATGCGGCAGCGTATCTATAATTAATACTCACATTCCAAAATTCATACAGATCCGTTAAGTATTGAAGGAATTATGAGTGTAACAGTTGCGCGAGTCCGCTGGCGAGTTCGCAGGCGGGTCCGTAGAATTGTCGATTGAGTCCATTACTACCGCTCAACGGGTTCGACTGTGTGATTAATTGGTTATTCTCAATTTATTGTTTGTTATCAACTTAATCAGAAGAATAAACGTATGGCTCCTTAAAATAGCCTGTCCCATGTCTCAATTTTTGATTGACACCTGAGCGACCAGACCTGTATTTATTCGGCCACTTTTGGAATTATAAATTCAAATGCGTTGCGACTACATAAATGAGGAGTCCGGCGAGAGTACACGAATCTCTCGAATAAGAAAAAGACACGAATAGGTGATATGTCATATAATAAAAATTTAGATATTTTATATTTCATTCCTTCTTGTTAGGAAAATTTTTCACTGTTGCCATGGAAAATAAATGAACCATATTTTAGGCCGTGACACTAGATTTGACTCGTTGCAACGGAGCCCAAATCCCACACACTAAAAAATTATGCAATTCTGTTTTCAACGATGCTGAGAACGTGTCTGCAACCATCTTGCGCTTTCTTCAGCAGAGTTTCAGCTTCAGAACTGAACAAGAGACGTTGACTTTCGTCTATGACGTTATCCAAGTTGATTGAGACGTTGTAGAACGCCCCCCAGGCGCCAGTTTCCAAACAACGTGCCCCGACCTGTCAAGTCAAAAATTAAAAAATATAACTCAGTACTCACAGCAGTGAGTGACAGAGAGCGCATTTTCTCGTCGACAAAAACTTGAGGTCACGGACGGACGGACAGACGGACATGGCGAGCACAATAGTGCACTTTTTCTTTAAATGAGAAAATGCGCTAAAAACATTAATAAGAATGCAATAGCAATTTGAAATTCTTTTATAGAACAAACTTTTTGTCTGTAAATTATTTAAACATATAATTGTTAAATAAAGCCATGCGAGAATTTAAAATTGACGGTTAAACTTGTTCATTTGAATCAACATACAGTGCACATTTGTTTTCGATCACATTCATTCATTAATGTCATACTAAGTCCTAAATTAATTTAGCGACGTCGAAACACTCAAGATATCAGTCTTTGAGTGTTTTAACGGCCACACAGAAATACCTCACCTGCACATCACTTCTGCAGTTAATGTTACCCAGTGCAGCCACCTTAGCGAGCTGTGGCCACACGGCGTCAATGGACCGCATGACACCCAACGGCACCTACAGGTGACGACATCGTAATATTGTTAGCGAATTCGCTGCATTTAATAAAAAAATTTACAGATATCTATGCCTTTGATGATAACTGATTGTATTTCACGTAACGTTGTCCGAGTACCTTGAATTTTCATCAATGGAGACACTAAAAAAGAAAGTACCAACCTTACAACTGATATATTGGTGTTTCAAGTAAAAAGTATACCTTCACAATATGATGAATCTTTTGCAGTTACTTCTCAATGATTCATCATTATACTCACAAGAACTGTCTCGATGGCAGCTTGCGCCACCGCGGCCTCCTTCAGAGCTTCCTCGCTAGCAGTGCTGGCAGACTGTCGACTCGCGCTCTGATCGAACCCCGTCGTCAAATGAATAAAGCAAAATATACACAGACATTCTCAGCTACCAGTCGACATTTGCTCATATTCATTATTATTATTTCAAATAACGTTCTGCTTCATATGAAGTTTTATAATGGTTTCCTAAAGAAAACGAAATAAAGATTCTTCCTCGCAAGCAGTTCTTGAGCTCTGGCACTGGCTCATGAGTATTTAATTAACAATATTATTAATTCTCAACTACTCGTTGTATCCTTGTGTGTTATTTATATTAAGTGGTCTTGTAGACTGCTGACCATGTATTTAGAGAAAGCAATTGTGTCGTTGTCGATGGCGGGCAGGAGTTCGAACGCAGCTCTGTGCAGCGGTGCAATGGCTGAGCGCATTGCAGCGTCGTGCTCTTCCCACTGACGCTTCCCGTACGTCAGTTGACCAACCATTGCGCCCAGGGCAGAGCCCTGGCATAAACATTGGAAATATCGTTCAAACTCTTATCATTCATTGTGTGTACATATTTATTGATGGTCTGTTTATTAGAATATTACAGGAAATGAGATACCTGGATAAACGTTTATGCAAAATGAATAGCATTAATGAACGATAATAGACAAATAACAAATAGGTGATTGAAAATAACGGCCTCAGTATATCTCAGAATCTTCGTATATCTTTGATATACACATGCAACCATTAGCCACACACGGTGTTCCACATTGCGCATCAGTTTTTGAGTAAAGTATTCATTAATACTTCATGTGAGGCAGTCAGTCTTCTCAAAAATGTTTTAAGGCGAAAGCAAATTTAATGTTGTCAGAAAATCAAATATCAAACCTACCATTGATATTTCCGAATGATATCCGGCTGCGAAACTTTCGATCGATATCGCAAATAATATTACTAATTTATATAAAAAAATTGATACAGTGAGCAGCAGAATGTCCGACATGACTAAAGCAAGTCAAGACTGACGAGGGCGGCGACGGCAGCGGCGACAGAGCCTCCCCCTGGGGCTGCGGTCCTCGCGGCGACGCCCCGCACGAGCGCAGCGACGCTGCCACGCCCTAGCGGCCCCACGCTCCTCAGGCTCGGGTCGCCCTCGGCCAAGCAGTACTCGATGATGCGTTCCCTACGAGTTCAGTCGTCTTGTATTAAAAATTTATGCCTTCGGAACATTATTTTGGATGTTTTTCTCTGCTTCATCACTAAGGGGAAAAATTCCTGCGTTCGATGATTCTGAAATTCATAAATACGACCTAAATACGGATAAAAAAATGATCAAAGCATTTAAATTAACTGTAGATTTCCAAAATGACGCTATGAACCTATTCGTAACAACCTGCATGAGAAAGAATTTGTAGATGAAAAGTAAAATGATTACAACTTGATCTTGTAATTTTCTTATAGTTATATAATTATTTAAGTTATATACATAATTAGGTTATATTACTCGTAGAAGGTATATAATTATAGTTGTAGTTATTATAACTAATAACTTTTCTGCTTGTCATCATTTTTCTTCATACATTATTACATCTGATTAAATTGAAATCAGCAACATATGAGGCAGTCACTGGCATATAATGAACACATACTTGGGTACGAACGGTGCCAGCTGGGACAAGCCCAGCCTGTTAATGACGAGTTGTAGCTTGTGCTCCTCCTCCAGGATGAAGAGGCCCTCACGGTCTATGTAGTAATCAGCCGCCTGCAGCAGTGAACGCAGGGGCACGAGCCCAACGATCTCGGAGCCAGTTATGGGCACGTTCAAAGCAGCGGCGTCTTTCAGGGCCTAGAAATAGGTTCCTCTCTTTGATAAGTTCTTGGAGAAAACGTGATATTGTGATACATATTCCTGAAGGATACGAGATATGTATGCTTGTGACAAGAATCGTACACACAAGATCTTTTGGATCTTTTCACAAGAACCGTACAGAAGATCGAATTTTTGTACTGTACTTTCCAGGAAAGCAATGCGTGCAGCTCCAAAACTTTTCGTTAGTTCGCAGTTGAATTAGAGAATACAATTTTCCGGCAAGCAGCAACATTAAGCGTAATACATTTCTTGAAAGCAATGGCGATGTTGATAGAGAGAACTAAATGTTGGTATACATATTATCCTTGATAAACCTAGCATTCGAAAATTTTTATTCATAATGTTTCGGCATCAATGCTATCATTTAGCTCTTCTCATCATTCATCTTGGGTTCACAAGTCATTTATTATCGTACAAGGGATGTTTTGCTTTAACGTCCCAAGAAAACTAAAAATTATTTAAAATGTTTGCCAGGCTTGTGATGATGATAAACTCACTTCTTCATATGCAACGTGGATGGGAGTGACGTCGAAGTCTGTGAGATTTATGCTGATCTGCGCCATGTTTCTCTCCTCCAGGTACCAGCCGATGGCCTGGCAGTTCTGCAGTCGACCAACCTCTCCGTTGCCGCGGCCCTGAGTGCGCAGGTTCAGAGCAATCCTTTAGGAAGGAAGGGAGGGAAGTTTCAGGAAACTGTAAAAAAAAATTCATAAGTCCTATGATATAATTGATAGTTTTGACAATGAGGCCTGCTCAACTAATTACTAGTAAGAAAACATGATCGGTCATCTCATCAAAATATTCTTAAATCTTTTTGCACTAGTCTTTTTAAAATAATTTTCTCCATTCAACGTGGAAGGAGGTATATTGTAGTAAGTTTATTATACTTATTATCCGTTTTTAGCAGAGTGAGAAATTTATCAAGAGTAATACAGAGAAAATGATAAATAAATTTAATATCTCTTAAAATTTGTCTAAATGACTGTTTCAAAACCAATTTAGCGCCGTATCTTGCATCATTAATCTCAATAGGATAAAAATTGGATCAGTTAATAACGGTTGTTAACGATCAAAATAATAATAAATATACATAGTAAAATAAATGAAGTATTTCTAATCTGGATTTTATAACCGGTGGGCTTGCTCCTTCGTAGCGATGAGGTTGATGTTGTACGCGATGAGGAACTTGCGCACCCCTGTCACCGTCGCCCCCCAGCGGGGCACGAACGCGCTGGGGCCGAAGTCGGGCTGCCACTGCGGGTCTTGCAGCTGAGCGCAATTAAGACGTACTCAAGTCATGAGAATTGCAGCCATTGTATTCCTAATAACTATTTTACCAGAATTTTTAGCTTATAATCCTCGCTCGATAATATTCCCAAGTATATTGAGGTTTGACTTGTCACTATAATGTGCGATTGTTAATGAAGGACTAATCTAAGAAATATTATCCTTAAAAGCATTGACTATTTTATTTGCAAGTTGTTGAACCGACTCTTGCTCACACAAACTATTACTTACAAAAGTTTAAATAGCGTGGGTAGGAATAAATTATCTTAATGCTCCTATACAGTACTTAATAGTAATAAATGAGTACCTTCTTTTCGAGGCTTTCATACTCCCCTGCCCGTATCTGCGGCATGGTCTTGCGGTGGTCACCCTTGTCTGCAGCGTCGCCGTACAAGAAGACGGGCACGTCGAGCTCCCCAGCAAGTCTTCTGCCAAACTCCTTGGCCACCTTCACGCACTCTGCCACCGTCACCCCGCATACGGGGATGAAGGGGCACACGTCTAGAGCACCCATGCGAGGATGTGAGCCTGAAAAATTTCAAATTTAAAATAGGAATAATTCTGGGTTAAATAGGTTAGAAAAAATATAGAACAAAAGAAAACAAAAACCAGTTAAGGAGTCAAATGATTACCAGAGTGGCGAGTCATATCAATTAAACGGTGCGCCGTGCGAGCTGCAGCCAATGCTGCCTCCACTATGGCCGCGGGACTGCCGACGAAGGTGTACACGGTACGGTTAGTGGACGGCCCTGGGTCAACGTCCAACAGACGAACGCCACTCACCCCACGAACTGCTTCACTGATGGCATCGATAACCTCGAGAGAAAAACAACCTTTCGATAATGTTTGTGTTGTTCCACTTACTACAGTAACACACATAAATCGCATAACCTAAAAAATGAGGATCAAAACAATGCGCGATTACTATTAATTACGCATTGACGTAGAAGGAATTTCTTGCCCATGCGCACATTAACATTCAATGGGCTGCTATGCTAGACACCGCTAATGGAATTAATTCTGAATAAAAAGAACTTGTACAAACAAGGGCCCCGCGAACAGGTTTCTTATCGACACGAGCATGCATGTCCGAGCGACCCTGCGAGGCCCCAGCACTAGCACCGGGCGTATGATTGTCGCATTTATGTATAGATGTTCGACCACATTCATATGAATTGTTTTTTCTTTCCACGAGAAAATAAGATGTGACTATTCGAGAAAATTATATCACTTTAATATATAAATTATTTGAGTCCTATACGGCTTCACAGAGGCAGTACGGTAATTAACAAGTTATAGTAGGGCTAGCAATGGGTTAATCCGTTAATTTCCCTGCTTTTACGTTAATTTGTCGAGAGACCTGAAAATCATCATAAATTAGTAATAGTCGGATCAAATTTATAAATAAATGCGGAATATCAGTAAGATAAGACAAGATAAGACAATAACTTAAGGTACCCAACAGAAGGCGATTTCCTAATGATACTTTAACCTGTTCGGAACAGAAGATATTGAGAAAGTAACTTTCTAGATAATCGCTAGTTTTATGCTCTGCTATCTAAAATGTATAAGTGATCATAAAAAGACGTCAAAAATAGTTATGTTAATCAATTGAAACGTTTCATGGACAAACTAATCAAATTTAGATTTATCCAGACGAATCGTCAAATAGTTAATAAATGTTTATTACTCGACTTTGATTCTTATAGCAACGTTGATACTAAGTTCAGAGCAGAGTAATTCTCCTTATGACTATAGGAATTTGCTGTTTTCCTAATGCTTTTTCTAATGGTGAAAAAAATTGATCTAATCCGAGGTGCGTATAGGATGGCACCAAGCTGTGGCACCCGAGCTTGTGGCATAGCTTGTGCGCAAGCTTTCAAGGTCAGCAGTGAGTGATGACGACTCGGGGATAAGATGATCTTATTTGTACAGCTATGAGCGTTTGCAAATCTCAATGCAATGCATCGTAACGTAAATCCGCAACGATTTGCTCTACATGATTCTACGTTACGATTCTTCAGAGGCTTCGTCTAATTTCCTCGTCATGCTAATAATAAAAATTGAAAAAAATAACCGTCACGAGGCAAGGAAAGAATCGGGACAGAACTCGGTGATCTGTGAAATTATTAATATAACGTTCTTTTCAGTGCGTTCAGATACAGCATTAAAATGCAAATATAGCCTCATAATTTAGCGTACCAACATACATAAAAATCAGCTCACGCAAATCATTACACTACAATACCAATACGCAAATATGGACCAATAAACAGAAACAAAGAGAATTCACCTTTCTCTGTGATTTTAATCAAAAAATATTATCATTATTACAGTGTGCTTGGAAATAATATCCTAAGCGTTGTTTTCATTCCATAGCTGAAATTTGCGCTGAATCCCCACAATGCATCGACAAGCAAAATTGAAATTAAATAAGAAATGACAATTTTTATTCATCTCTTATACTCACAGCTTGATCTCTTCCTTCTGAAAAGTTTGGAACGCATTCGATAATTTGTTTCTCTGTCATTTTACCTCTTATACTACACAGACAACCTTATCTCTTGCAGCGCAAAGGATTACTGAGGAGTGAGAAGACTGAGCACTGAGGAGTATGAGCAAGAACCGCGCACGCCGTGCAGCATGTTGATTTTAAAGCGTACAATTTCTGTGCAAAACCAACGCCGTTTATCGTCGTCATTTAGCGTCTTCATTAAGCATTTTTCTTCTAAAAAATAGTTACCATAGGCTGGTCTGGACATGTATGTGGACCTAACTAACGGATGGGAGGAAATGGATCATCTTTCGTTCTCTAGTTTCACAGATTGTTGTTAAAAATTGCAGATAGTTCCAAACCGACTGGGTAAATTCTAAGGTCTTTTTGGCACAAGAGTCGTGTATTTTGTATGATTTCAGTTAAAAAAAACGTTCGATGTGGAAACTTCCTTCACAACTTTTGGATATGAAAGATTTTCTTAAATTGAGTTCATGTTCTTTTTCAAATTAATTTTACGAATACAAAACAACCTGATGTTCTCATAGAATAGAAGTGTCGGCACTGAAGAAATAGGCCCATGGCCTGTTGCCGATTCTTATACTTTTCGTGACTTGATTCACAAGGGATCCGGCACTTGGAACCCGATCTTTCCATAACTGACGATTGATTGAGATGGCTGCTGGACTTAATGCCTGGTCCGTAAGTATTAAAATCACTTGGCTGCTTAAGTCGCAAATTCACCTGCAGGAATTTAAAAGTAAAGAAAATAGCCAAAAAGTTCACCATTTCTTATAAGAGAAAACGTTTCGGAGTCCAGCTCCATTGTCAGTTCAAAACCTAGAACACAGGTACAAACAATTAGTAACCTAAAATTCACATTCAAACAATTCACCTAAACTTGAGGACATTAGAACTAAAATCGAAGATAACAGAAATAAAAATGAGATAACATGTAGAGAAAGTACTATCTATTTACAATTTGTAGAGTACTTTCAATTTGTATTGCTAGTGAACAATTTTAAAATTAGCTCGTTTTTCAAGTACGAAGATCCTATCCCTGTTCTTATGCGATCATCCCTAGTTTATCAATATAGTTGTGCGCAGTGTGCATCGGCGTATGTCGGTATGACATCGCGCAATTTTTATATTAGGCTTGCAGAGCATAGGGGCAGGAGTTATAGAACAGGGAACATACTTGCGCATCCCCCTCATTCAGCCGTACGTATTCATGCCGTCATCGTATTAAAGTCTCGGTGTCGCTAGTGGACGGCGCTTAGTCACCGTCATAAAGGTGGTGCTTTCAGCATGGCCTTGAGTGTGTGTCCCTAAACACTCTGGGTATGTTACCATGCCGAGCAGTGCCCGTTGTCCAATAGTGATTTTAGAGTTTTAGCCTCCACAACCGGTGTTTCTGACCTACGAATTTTAGAATCATTATTTATTTTCAAACAGAAACCCAGTTTGAATTCAGCATTTAAACTGGGTTTCTGTTTGAAAATATATAATGATTCTAAAATTCGTAGGTCAGAAACACCGGTTGTGGAGGCTAAAACTCTAAAATCACTATTGGACACCGGGACGTTGCACTGCTCGGCATGAATACGTACGGCTGAATGAGGGGATGCGCAAGTATGTTCCCTGTTCTATAACTCCTATTTTCTTTACTTTTAAATTCTGTGGTCCGTAAGGTGCTAGGCATTTTAAGACTAAACATATGCATCTGCATAGCTTCGTCTAATCTGTTCTTGCAGGTGTCCATACTCGGAGCGTAAACAATGCTATGAGGGAGGCTGTTCCACATAGAATAGAGGTGTCGGCACTGAAGAAATAGGCCCACGGCCTGTTGCCGATTTTGTTGCACGTCTTTGAACATCTCGATTAAATTTTTGTCCTTTTCAAGTTTCGGTGACCACTCGACGTTTCCAAACTCTAGGTTCGGGCGCACGACAGCAACTAAGTGCTTCATCGCTTCTGCATCTAGGAACTCGAAAGAGCGTCTGGTCAGTCCAAGTCGTTTATTGGCTTTATTAACTTGACCTTCAATATGCTTAGAAAATTTCAACTCATTCTCGATATTAACTCCTAAACCTTTCTCCATTGTCGACTTCGACAGAAACCTGGTGAAGTACTGACGATTTGTGAAGATTGCAAGAATCACAACAGTGCCATTGAATCCCAGTTAGCCCATTGATAATTACAATTAGTATTGAACAGAGAAAAGAATTAAAATTTCTATCTTTATGATGTGGTAAAATTAACAGACACGGTTAAAAACTGCGTTCCTATGCGTAAGGAATAATCATTAAAATTTTTAGAAATTAAACATCGAAGATGAAAAGCTGTTTTTTTGATCCGATTAGAAATTTCCCAGCGAGGTAAAGCGCGCACGCTTTTTATTGAACCTGCACTTTAGGCCCGAAATTTCTGGTCTTCTGCTCAGTGACCACAGCCTGAACTTGGTGGAACACACTGTCAACAAATATAAAAACATGAACAACAAGCGTAGGAACTTGTGATCTGTGACTTCCACTTCATCAGCAACAAGGTTTGGCAACTCGTCTGTGTCAAAACTTGTAAGTTTCATATTTCGTTTCTTGAAGTGTGAAAATGACTTGAGAGATAATAAATCGAAATTACCAATGATTGGAAGTCAGCTTGTTTACGAACCTTCTTGTGATTCTTGCAATCTTCACAAATTGTCAGTGCTTCACCAGGTTTCAGTTACTGTTGTGGGTAACTTAGTTGTCAGACGCTAGCGTACACGCAGGCAGGGATTGCTTACAGTCTTACTCTAATCTAACAAGAAAGTTACGAAGTAAAGACGTTAGTTTAATAACTGCAAGCAATTAATTTAGGCGAAGTTAATAATTTGCTTACAAAATTAGTGATCGAGGACTCGAGCGAAGCTGTGTTTAATCTGTGCAACGGATTATTAGTTACCGTAGGTCTCGACACAAACTACAGTTTATTGTATCCTTTGTGCCCGATGTTGGCACTTGGCTGCACGCGATATTTCTACCCTTGATATGTATTTAGTGCTCCATGAGTCCATGTCGCATTGTACTACAGTAGAAGTCCAAATAATCATTCACGGCCTAAAACTATATGTAGACGAATGATCCATGAACAGTAGTAGGTCACATCGTGTCGTATTTAATCAGCTCAGAGGAGATGGAAGATTCGTAATTGTCATGAAAGAGTTGAAGAAATCATTTTAGGAGAAACAAACTGTTTCTAACACTTACCCGTCTGATTTCAGCTGGGAGACCGTGTGGAGAGATGTACAGTCAAACCGGTGATCCGACTCGTATCACGAGGCAAACTTCAAGATGGATATTTACTTACAACAACTACGACCCTCTCTTAAATTACGTAGAACATTTCTCTTCGCCAGAGTTCAAGGTGAAGAGAGCGGTGTGGGGATTCGAAAAGTCTGATTCTGGAACACCACATTTGCAAGGGTACGTCGAATTTATAAGATCGCACAGACTTTCTTTCACTCGGCGAATTCTACCTGAAGCTCATTGGGAATGCGCATCAAGCCCTCCATATTTCAACTATTTGCACTGCACAAAAAATGGAAACTTTGAAACCGTCGGAGATTGGGAGTCGCTGACGTCTTTGCCCAAGAAGACAAAGAGGACTAAATTAGCAAGCGCTGGTCCGGTGGTGGCCGGACTGCTTGGCAAAAATGCGCCCATCATTACCCAGCGTGAAATTTTTTTCATGGCTTGGAAACACACCAAAACTTCGCCGCTGGCAATATCAATGCTTCATGAAATTATTCGACCAACCACAGCGACAGATACTATGGGTTTACGATGGAGTAGGAAAAGCAGGCAAAACGTGGTTTGCTAATTATTTGAATATCCTCTACTCTTACGACTTGATGGATGGTATGAAAGGCACAAGAGACGTTTGTGCTCTGTTGTCAGATGCGCCCACTGGAGTATGTTTCGACAGCTGTAGAGCCTCGAAAAAACACTTCGACTACGACGTTCTCGAAGCAGTGAAAAATGGATACATGGTATCCGGAAAGTATAACGGATCCATAAAGAGATTTCATCCATGCCCCGTAGTTGTATTTTCAAACTCGCTACCCGCTACAAAACAACTTTCGCACTATCGTTGGGATATAGTACATCTGGGCGAAGGTGACTTCATTAACCTCGATAAATCGCCTATTTATTCAACCGCTGACCTTCGTCCATTTGTTCCTCCACCAAAAATACCCATATTGGCAGAAAATTTCAACTTGCGACAATACTTGCTCCGCTCACTGCACAACTCCGAAGTGACAAGTACTTCCACCCTATGGGGGTGAACGCTACCTTGGCGACTCGGAAGAACAGTGAAGACAGTTCGTCGAGCTGCTGCTAGTCGTACTCCAGTGTTCCGTAGTGATTACACACATTCCAATAGCCAGTTCATGGTCAATAGAAGATTATTGGTTAATTTTTGACGTAATAGATACGCAAAACTGTTGGTTTCATATTACAGTGGCTCGTGTCGTAGAATCTTACTACATACGTTGACCCCTTCTCATGAATCATTTGCTGGGATAGGAAGTATCCATTTTCAACAACTGATGTAACCTTGTTACTGACTTGCTTATTCTTTAAGAAGACTTAAGCGAATGCAATTTATGCATTTAGGTTAGTTTGACACTATTATTATTTTAAGTTTACTAATAGCAACCTATTCGCTATTTAATTACAATGAAAGAAGATTGTATATGCTTTCTTTTATTTCCTTTTCCCGTGAATAAGCTAAAGTTAATAGTACTGTTGGTATGAACCTAAATTATTGTACCTTGTTCAATGTAATCATGACTAATTACGCGTTTGCCCAAACCTAGAATAATCGCAAAACAGAGCCTATGCTTCTAGGAAAGGAATTAGCTTCTTCTTTAGTCCATGTTATCCCTGGATTCAAGTAACAGTACTAACCGTGCGCCTTCCACGCTTAGCAAAAGCTGTCGAATGTACCAATAGGCAGTCCTGTTCGATTTACCAAACGCAGGGTTTCACATAATTTTACCAGCGAAGAGCAATGCTTCCTTGAGGAGTACGAAACTAGCAACCTAGTACCGACAAACTAATAAACTCGAAGCTAGCATCTGCTTAGTGTTGGGAACAAGAATTTTGCGTTTAATGACTCTGAAAAATAGAAGATCCAACCACGATTCATTGAAGAAAAAATAACGTTAACTTCACTTCATGTCTGTCTTACTGTCTATGTCTGCTACAAATCTTATAATCGAAATTTAACACACTTCACTTTTCCTATCGATCTGAAATTTTGCACACTTGCGTAAAGTTGGAGACAATGCATGAATCAAATGACAAAATAAGTAATTTTAAAAATAATTTTTGTTTCAATATTAAAAAAACTGAAAAATAATTTTGTCTGCTACAAATCTTATCAACAATATTTAACACACGTCTAGCCGTCCAATATATCTGAAATTTTGCAGACTTGCGTAAAGTCGGAGACAATGCATGAATCAATTGACAGAATAGATAATTTTGAAAATTTCATTTCTTTTATATATTAAAATAATTAGAAAATTACTTTTTTAATATCCGAAATTGAAATTAGAAATTCATTGTACATGTTTTACATTGGAGACACTGGATTTTTTATAAGTGTTGTCTTTAAAAATTAATTTTTAAACGTAGGTTTTAATGGCTCATATTTTATCAGTTTATTATTCTATTCTAAACCAAAAATAGCAAGTAAAATGTCACCAGTATCAATGTTGCCTTGCTAAATTCGTTAATTTGAAACCCCCAATGTATATATATTTATTCTGTACAAAATTCTTTACAAGAGGAGCGCTCCACTTACGTAGCTCCGCTCCACCGCGCCACTAACGCTGTAACATCGACTCGGTGTAACATCGTCGCATGCTGGTTGATTACGTCGTAATGTCTTTAATGACGTTGAGTCGACGTCTAATGATTGCTGGGACTCAATTTTAATGAATAATGATTGGCAATGTCGTTCGAAGAAATGCATTTTAACAGCGGCTATACTTCTGCTATAATTTTCCCGTAAAAACTTCACGCTAACAAATAATAGGCAGGCAATGGTGAGGTTATTCGTGATTTTATTCCATGAACACTTGACACGTCGATAGTAAATTTTTGTCTAACACTTTATGATTAAAAATATTTCGCTATTTTCCTATTTACTTGTTTCTAACAAATTTTGATACCCACTAATACTAGTGCTGGATGTGCACTTCCACGCTTTATAAATCGCATAACATGGAAACGGAAAGCTTAAAATATTGACGTCGTTAAAAATTGTAAAGAAATTCATCGATACTGTGGTGGGAAGTGAGGTGCTATAGACATTTAATTAAATGTAAAATGCGAGTTCACTTCAAATTAATGCCCTTTTAAGGCATTGATTGAAGTTATCATGACCCAAAATGGAATCAGTGCAAAAAACAGACAGCATTTCAGAAATAAAAACAATTTTCTGATTTTTTTCAGACCCGTGTAATCAAAGTAAAATTTGTAAGAAAAGCAGACTGGGTTAACAGTTTTTCCCGGTGCATTTTTGCGGTCGTTCCTGAGTGACGGATAAATGATCGTTAAACGTGTACGTTTGTATGTGGCGAATAGTTGATAGATTGGCGAATAGTTGACGAATAATTGATCGTTTGCAGGAGGCGATTAGTCGATCGTATATAAATGGCGAATAACTAATCATGTGCGCGTGGCGAATAACTGATCACTCGCACGTGGCAAATAATTGATCGCGTGTGTATGGCGAATAACTAATCTTGGGCATGCGGCGAATAGGTGATCGCTCACACGTGGCGCTTGCCCGTGGCGAATAATTAATCGTATGTGACGGCGAATAATTAATCGTGTGCATATGGCGAACAAGTGATCGGTCGCATGTGGCGAATAAGTGATTGTTTTCTTGTAACTGAAAGGCACGGTATCAATCTGTATGATTGATATAACCTGCATGTGACTGATCGTTTGCATCTGGTGAATGTCGTATGTATGTCGTGTATGTGAGGCTCCGCCAATTTTGTTTATAGAGACCCAATCTACATGCGGTGGACGACGTCTGAGTTGCCCATCCTTTGGTGCGGAATTAAGATTTGAAGTCACCATCAAAATGAGGGCACCATCACATGAGGGCAAAAAGTGCTCTTTTCTTTACATGAATTGAGAATACATTTTAAACATCAGTATAGCACATCCAATCATTTTAATTAACGTGGAAACTAGTTAGCCCTCTTTTCGATCAATATTTAGGTAATGCATTAAGATGAAAATTTATTCTATGTTTCATCTATCCGAAAATCAGTCTACGGCCTTCTACAAAAAAAAAAAAAAAAAAAATCCGAGCTGAGAATTAGACTTTCCTCAGTCGGACTTACAGAGCATTAATTATTGTTAGGAGAAATGCAGTAATGAAGGTTTGGTCAATTAATTAATACTCGTTCAATGTTTTATGAAAATTTGTAAAAAATTCTGCATAAATTCCAGCATTCCAAATTGTCATAGTTAGATAAAGTGTGGGTTGTTTTTTAATTTATATGCAAAGTCAATTCTACTTTAGATTAGGAAATGACGGATTCGTTGCAGCTTGTCATATGAACTAAGCATTTAAATCGAAGAAAACGCCAAAAAAAAATCATTTTGTCCGCAGTGAAAACTTATCGGAGTCCGACTCCATCATCAGTGCAAAAATTTCATTAATACGATTTTGACCAAAATAGGACCTACATAACCTTAGGAATGCATAAGGAAAAGGTGGCCGGACTGCTTTCAACGGTTTCAAGTGGATACGAACTCATAACATCGTTTACTCAGGTGACGTCATAGTTTAAAGAAGGTGAGAGAGTACCACGGGTAGCTCTCGCTATAAAAGTTTCACCACGGTGCTATGCTGCTAATCTAACCACCGCAGCTATTTATAACCGTCCAATTGTCAAACTTCGAAGAAGAGGATCAACAATGATTGAACCGTAACCGATGACGTGAGCTCTAGGTACAAGAGCAGCCACTTGAAGTGCTACTTTCGAGGTTCTACTTCAAGATCCCGAATAAATTTATCGAACTGAAACTTTAAACACGTGCTGCGTCTAAGCTTTACCAGCGTTTCTAAGTAGAAGCCGAGCCAACTGCCACAACCAAACATGATTGAGGCTACATCTTTCCATCAAAGAAGACCCGGTGCGGTACTCAATAGTAGCTCTATCGTCCCCTTAGATAATATAATTATTAGAAATGATACATGAACGTGCGTTGATGTATACAATGGCAAGTGCGGATACCTAGGCCATCAAAGTTCGTTGATGCATCATTGCAAAACAGACAGTTTTTGTATTCTTCAAAGTTAATCTTATTAACAAATAATCTATATACTCGATGAATCGATACGATACTGAACTTTTTTCACCGCGAAATTGACAAATATACGCGGCAGACTGTTTAAACGTTGTTAAGGCGTCAGCAAACTTCATTTCTTTTATAAATGTTACGAACATGTTCAGTAGGAACTAATTGATGGCAGATGTTGTGTTTTGGCGAGAGCTTTCAAAATAATAGGCTCCTGGCCGAGGAAAATTTAACCGATTTGCGGTAGCTATACGAAACACATAACGGTATATTTTGGTGTCAGAAACTGGCGATCATTTTCTGGATTAATAACAACAGGTTTGCCTCAAATGTCAATTTTTTCCATTGAAAATATGAGATTAAGTCGACGTAAAAACATTAGAAAAAATAAATTTTTCAGCAGAAAATACGTCAATTAAATTTATGTTGATTGATTCACATCTGCAAATGGACACGATCGCGTTCAATGTCAGTTTTTATTGCAACACTTCTCTTTAACTTCACTTCTTGTTTGTCTGTCTGCTACAAATCTTGTAATCGAAATTTAACACACTTCTACTTATCTTATTGATCTGAAATATTGCACACTTGGGTTAAGTTGAAGACAATGCATGAATCAAATGATAAAATAAATGATTTAAAAAATGTTTTTTTTGTATTAAAAATTAAATTGAACAAATAATTTTGTCAAGTACAAATCTTATAACTGATATTTGACATACTTTTACCTGTCCGATTGATCTGAAATTTTGCACACTTGTGTAAAGTCAGAGGCAATGCATGAATCAACTGACAGAATAAATAATTTCGAAACAAAATTTTATACATTAAAAAATTGAAAAATTAATTTTTTAATATTCGAAAATAAAATGAGAAATTCATTGTACATCTGTAACATTGGAGACACTGGATTCTTTAGAAGTGTTGTCTTTAAAAAGTAATTTTTAAACATATATTATTCAAAATAATTTCATGAATATATAACAACCATGTTCTCAATTTAGTGCCCATGAGTTCCAGTTAGCCCATTGATAATTACAATTAGTATTGAACAGAAAAAAAAATACAATTTTCTATCTTTATGATATGGTAAAATTGACAGACACAGTTAAAAAACGTTCCTCTGCGCAAGGAATAATCATTACAATTTTTAACAATTAAACTTCGAAGAAGATGAAAAGCCGTTTTTTGATCCGATTAGAAATTTCATAGCGAGGTAAAGCGCGCACGTTTTTTATCGAACCGACACTTTCTGGTCTTCTGCTCAGTGACTACAGTGTTTGATCATGAGATCGGACTTCCACTTCATCTACTGCAAGATTTAGCAACGTAAACTGGACATCCTCGAGATAGTCAAAACTGGTAAGTTTTATATTTCGTTTCTCGGAGCGTGGAAATGACTTGATATCAAATCGATCATTACCAATGATTGGAAGTGAACTTGTTTTCGAACATTTTAGTGATTCCTGCAATCTCCACAAATCGTCAGTGCTTCACCAGGTTTCTGTTACTTTTGTGGGTAACTTAGTTGTCAGACGCTAGTCGAACTCGCAGGCAGGGATTGCTTACGCGAAAATCAGACAAGAAAGTTACGAAGAGCATACGATAGTTTAAAAACTGCAAGCAATTAATTTAGGTCAAGTAAATAATTTGTTTACAAAATTAGTGATCGAGGACTTGAGCGAAGCTAGGTTTAATCTTTGCAACGGATTATAAGTTACCGTAGGTCTCGACACAAACTACAGTAGATTTATTGTATCCTTTGTGCCCGATGTTGGCACTTTGCTGCACGAGATATTTCAACACTTACTATGAATTTTGTGCTCGATGTCGCATGGTAGTACAATACAAACCCAAACAATCATTCCCGGCATAAAACTACATGTAGACGAATGATCCATGATAAGTAATAGGTCCCATCGTGTCGTATTTGATCGGTTAAGAGGAGAAGAAACAGATTTGTAATTGCCATGAAACAGTTCGGAAAGAATTTCAGGAAAAACTAACTCTGTTTCTAAAACTTACCCGTCTGATTTCAGCTGGAAGACAGTGCGGAGAGATGAAAATTCGAACCGGTGATCCGACTCGTATCACGAGGCAAACTTCAAGATGGGTATTTACTTACAACAACTACGACCCTCTCTTAAATTACGTAGAACATTTCTCTTCGCCAGAGTTCAAGGTGAAGAGAGCGGTGTGGGGATTCGAAAAGTCGGTGTCTGGAACACCACATTTGCAAGGGTACGTCGAATTTATAAGATCGCACAGACTTTCTTTCACTCAGCGAATTCTACCTGAAGCTCATTGGGAATGCGCATCAAGCCCTCCATATTTCAACTATTTGTACTGCACAAAAAATGGAAACTTTGAAACCGTCGGAGATTGGGAGTCGCTGACGTCTTTGCCCAAGAAGACAAATAGGACTAAATTAGCAAGCGTTGGGATGGTGGTGGCCGGCCTGCTTGGCAAACATGCGCCCATCGTCAGAGTCAGCAAAGAATTTTCTCTTCGTTCAAGATATTATGAGGAGACAGCCAGATACGTGAAGAAAATCAGAACCCAGCATGATTTTTTCATGGCTTGGAAACACAGCAAGCTTTGCCGCTGGCAATATCAATGTTTTATGAAATTAGTCGACCAAACACAGCGACAGATACTGTGGGTCTACGATGGAGCAGGAAACGCGGGCAAAACGTGGTTTGCTAATTATTTGAATATCCTCTACGCGTACGACTTGCTGGATGGTTTGATAGGCACAAGAGACGTTTGTGCTCTGTTGTCAGATGCGCCCACTGGAGTATGTTTCGACTGCAGCAGAGCCTCGAAAGATCACTTCGACTACGACGTTCTCGAAGCAGTGAAAAATGGATACATCGTATCCGGAAAGTATAACGGATCCATAAAGAGATTTCATCCATGCCCTGTAGTTGTATTTTCCAACTCTCTACCAGCTACAGAACAACTTTCGCAAGATCGTTGGGATATAGTATATCTGGGAGAAGGTGACTTCACTAACCTCGATAAATCGCCCATTTATTCAACCGCTGACCTTCGGCCATTTGTTCCCCCACCAAAAATACCCCGACTGGGCGAAAATTTCAACTTGCGACAATACTTGCTGCGCTCACTGCACAACTCTGAAGTGACAAGTACTTTCACCCTATGGGGGGTGAACGCTACCTTGGCGACTCAGAAGAACAGCGACGACAGTTCGTCGAGCTGCTGCGAGTCGTACTCCAGTGTTCCGTAGTGATCACACACATTCCGATAGCCAGTTGATGGTTAGTAGAAGATTATTGGTTAATTTTTGACGTAATGGATACGCCAAACGGTTAGTTTCATTTTATAGTGGCTCGTAGAATCTTACTACGTTGACCCCTTCTCATGAATCATTTGCTGGAATAGGAAGTATCCATTTTCAACAACTGATGTAACCTTGTTACTGACTTGCTCATTCTTCTTTAAGAAGACTTATCAGAATGCAATTTATGCACAAACTGCGTATAAATTCTCGGCCGACGATTACTAAGGAGTATTTATGATAATTTATGAACATAGGTTAGTTTGACACTAGTATTATTTTAAGTTTACTTATAGCAACCTATTCGCTATTTGATTACAATGAAAGGAGATTGTATATACTTCATTCTATTTCCTTTTCCCGTGAATAAGCCATAGTTATTAGTGCTGTTGGTATGAACCTGAATTATTGTACTTTGAACAATGTCCCCATGACGAATAAAGTGTTGTTTGCCCAAACCTAGAATAATCACAAAACAAAGCCTATGCTTCTAGGAAAGAAATTCGCTTATTTAGTCCATGTTATCCCTGCATTCAAGTGAGAGTGTACTAAACGTGCGACTTCAACTCGCCTAGCGGAACCTGTCAAATGCACCAATAGGCAGTCTGTCCGATTTACGAACCGCAGGGTTTCACTTGATATTATCAGCGAAGGGCAATACTTGTCCTTGAGGAGTACGAAACTAACCTTGTACCGGCAATCTAATGGACTCCAATCCATCATCTTGTTAGTGTTGTGAACAAAGAGTTTGCCTTTAATGACGCTGAAAAAATCTAAGATCCAACCACGATTCATGAATGAAAAATAACGTTTAAATTTCTACTTAAATTAGTAACTACATAAAACATATTAGATCTCGTGCTCCGCGCCAGAAATATAATATCACAACTCAGCTCTCGTTATCTACAGACGACGTGAACTATGTACAGGCACTGTCGTGTTCTCTCGCATTATATAGACTATCTTAAGAAGTAGTTGGTCATGTGCTGGCAGCCGGTAGCTCCTCTTCACTCTCGCCCGTTAGTGTATCCTGGTCGCCCGTGACCCGGCAGCGGTGGAGGATGGCCTGCTCGTAGGCGCGCTTCACGGCCTTGCGGTCCGTAGGCTTGCGCGACTCGACCAGTTTTGCTTTGTCCAATTCAGGGCGCTCCCCCAGTGGCTCTAGTTTACTGCGCGGCAGCCACTGCCTGCGAAGAAATTCTTCAGTTAGCACTGAACAACGGAAAACATGCATTTAAAAATAACATATAAAAATAATATTCACTGTTACAGTTGCCTGATGTATTGGAAATGTTCAAGGCCTTCATTTTTTATTTTATGTCATTCAAAGATTTCTTACTGGACCACATTGTTCCCTAATTTCTGATTTTAACGGATTCAACAAGTTATCGAAGCTAAAATTAAATGCACGCGTTTTAAATATGAATAAGGTTCAAATTTTGACCCGGGTACTGTAACTTTTGGACTGCTTCTCTCATCAGCAATCATTTCAAAATTAATGGCAATTTGTACATACCATGTCCTCTTGGAGTCGAAAAATAGCACAAGATATTGATGAGTGAGAGGGCAGGAGTGGGCCAAGTCGAGCACCTCCTGGGGCGGCACTGGGATAGGCACGTGGTTGTGGAAGTAGCCCGTACGAGGCATCTTTGGGTTGATGATCTGATCAACAAAACAAGCATTAATATCTGGAAACCGCATGGAAGCTACTGACAACTATTGCAAATTGCAAAAAACTGACAATATTTGCAATTTGTCAGTTCTACATTGCATGTGCTAAGCACAGCCTCGGGTATAGCAGTCCCCCTCTTTCTCCCACCGGACGACAAGATTAAGATGGTATGAGGTGAGCAAATTACTCTATCGATTATTTCGTCAGGCGAGGGAATATATTCAGGGATGTAGATAAGATTTGTCACTGTGACCGCTCACCAGCGCCGGGTACCAAGGGTAGCCCCGACATTTCGCCCAGACCAGGTCAAGAGGCTCCAGCTGGATTTCCTGACCAGAAGCTCTTCCGTCCGCGCCTGCGTCACCGGCACCAGATTCTGACTCTGCTCCCGCACCCCCGCCAGTGTCTGAGTCTGAGTCTGAACAAGTGTCGTCAGAGTCGCCCAGACTGCTTGTGCTCTCTGAGTGAGTGTCTTCGTCCGTTTCAGGAGCCTTTTCTGCGGGAAACAGAAGTGTTGTGATTGCATTGAACCCGATTGCGTAGAGATTAAAACAAGAATAAACTCTTAGGGTGCGTACACAGTGGAAGCCGGTTTGCCCGCGCGGGCAACCTGCTCCAACCTGCCACAAGAATGAACATAGGATAATAATGTAAGTGTTCACAGTGGATACCTGAACGAATAGGCTTCTGCCGACAACCTGCTTATACCTATTTACCGGGATGTACTGCACATTCTTATCTGCTCAACCTGCTTGGCAAATGGTCATTTTTGAATTAGTTGTACCTTTAAACCCTACATTTTCTTCGTTTCTTTGGCACTATAGCGGCATGCGTCGAGGGTTCTCATGTAAACAAACAACTTTATAAAGGTGGCGAGGAGTCTGCACTCAATTGGAGGGATTTTTGAGAGGTAATAACACATGATGAGCATCGACAGTGATCAATTAATCACTTCTTTATTTGCGCCAACTGCGGTCGTGACTGCCATGCCCGAATCGGCCTGGCGAGCCACTCGAGGCGCTGCCGACAGCGTGTTGTGCGATGACGGACGGGGTACACACCATCATCTCTCGAGATGGACGGATGCCAACAACAACAATTGATTGAAAACGATGTAAGATTAATATCTGCACGTAATGAGATGAATAATACACAGACTCACCATGCCTTCACTCGAAGCGCTGTCCTCCGATACAACGGAGATCCCGGGCGCTGCGCACGCGGTCATCCCGTCACTCCAGGGAGTGCTTGTAGAATCTGCGGGGCGCGACGTATCCTCCGCAGATTTGCTCTCATCTTCTTTCGTTTCAAAGGATTTAACAACTAGAACAAAGAAAATACATGATAAATTCATTAAGAAGTATTATCAACTGCTCATTTCTAATCAATTTGGGTGCAATTGCATAAGTATATATACTAGCCTTTATGATGTAAATAAATCATAAAAAAAGATCCACATAAATAAGTCAGTTCTACAGGCACAGAATTATACGAAAGTAACTAATATATGAAACAAACCTGACGGTTTTTCCGAAGGCCCCTGACGACGCCTGCTTGGACGTCCCCTCCTGCGACCTGATCCTCTGTAAGGTAGAGTGGACGATGTTCCATCCTCGGGGTAGTCTGTCCTGCGTTGGGAAGCACCTGTGGCATCCTCACTGCTATCAGGAGACTCTTGAAGCTCTTCATCGATGATTGGATATGATGGGACAGAAGCATCTGCGTTGCACATGTCATTGTCACGGAGAGGTGATGTTGTCGTTTCCTCAACACGTGACGGATCCACTGGAGCAGGTTTTGGCGTAGTAGGAAGTTTTGTGAAAAAGCTGTCGATGCGCTTCTGTTTTCCAGAATCCTGCGGCAACAGTTATATTTATTGAGTTTAAATCATTTTTGGGAGAGAAATTTTCATCATGATTAAATATGCGTAAATGATTGAACTACGAAGCTAGGAACTGATGGGTGAAATGTATGATTGCCAAACTTTTCACATCAACACTCTCAAACTTTGATAAACCAACCAGGTTTCAAGCATACAAAAACACTCTGTTGTGACCTGATAGTATTAAGTCGTTTTTATAGAAGACGCATTCATGTCATTGGATTTAAAAATAAATTGCGCGACGTAGGGCAGTGAATATACCGTTTTTCAGGCCACACAGACCTAAAAACCAATTTAGGCTACTCGCGCATTCATGATTTTATTGAGAATTATATGCACCCAAGTTCGTTAGAAGCGAATATAATAATTTAGAAGGGCTTAATAATTTGGGTATAGATAGTTTACAAATGAATCTTGAAATGAAGCACTACTGAATTGAAGAGACTACTTGAGGGAAACGATTGTTATTCCAGGACTTCAATTTATAGAACATTAACGCTATATGGCTCACATTGTTAGGGAATGATGAATCCTGCTAAGTTACCAGGCTTTACTGTAATATAGGAAGCCGAGGTCAGAAAAATCCTCCCAAACTCACCATTTGCTTGTTTGGAGCGCTGCCTTTGCGTCCAATTCCTCGCTCCCGCCCACGACCTGCTCGAGGTGAGGGAGTTACGCCCGATTTTAGCTCCTTCTTCTCACAGGACTCTGCGTCACGGGCAGGAGGAACAGGTTGAGTGTGCGTTGGTTCCGGGACAAGAGCAGATCTTGAGACAACAGCAGCCACGTCGGACGAAGGAACAGACACAGCAGGAGATTCTGAGGCAGGAATTGCTGATACTTCGATCGGCTCTGCAGGATTATGTGGAAATTTGTGAGTTTATAGGAAGCCTTTTCAACGTGATGATTGAATTTTATGGACCACATTTTATGATTGAATTTTTTTGAACCACTTTTACACAATATAAACCATGAAAATGAAGGAAATAAATAGACTGACAATTTTTACCTTAAACATTTAAGAACTCAAGTACAATATTCAGCTTCAGCAAAATTGTCATGAAAATCTTTAAAAATATAAGGAAGCTGCACAGTATCAAAACATTTGAATGATTACGGATCTTAATGGAGTGAGTAGAATAAAATAATATACGTTTAAAAAAATAAAAATTACTTTTAAAAGACAACACTTCCAAAGAATCCAGTGTCTCCAATCTTACAGATGTACAATAAATTTTTCATTTGATTTTTAATATTAAAAAAATTAATTTTTTGATTTTTTTTAATATAAAATTTTTTTAATATATAATTTTTTTCAAAATTATTTATTCTGTTAATTGATTCATGCATTGCATCTGACTTCACAGAAGTGTGCAAAATTTCAGATCGATTAGACAGGTAGAAGTATGTCAAATATCAGTTATAAGATTTGTAGCTGCCAAAATTATTTTTTCAATTTTTTAATATTAAAAAAAATTCAACATTTAAAATCATTTATTTTGACATTTGATTCATGCATTGTCTCCAACTTTACACAAGCGTGCAAAATTTCAGATCGATAGGATAAGTAGAAGTGTATTAAATTTCGATTACAAGATTTGTAGCAGACAAACAAACAAGAAGTGAAGTTAAAGAGAAGTGTTGTAAAAATAATATGCGTTGAAAAATTACTTTTTAAAGACAACACTTCTGAACAATCCAATGTCTTGGATGTTACACATGTACAATGAATTTCTAATTTTATTTTCAAATATTGAAAAAAAAAAATTTCACATTTTTTTAAGATATCAAAATTTTGTAAAATTTCAAAATTGTTTATTCTGTCAATTGATTCATGCATTGTCTTTGACTTTATGCAATTGTGCAAAATTTCAGATCAATTGGACAGGTCAAATTGTGTCATTGTCATATATGGATAATAAGATTTGTAGCAGACGAAATTATTTTTTAATTTTTTTAATAATGAAATTTTTTTTATAAAATTATTTATTCTGTCAATTGATTCATGCATTGTCTCCAACTTTACGCAAGTGTGCCAAATTTCAGATTGATTGGACAGGTAGAAGTGTGTTAAATATCGATTATAAGATTTGTAGCAGACAGACAGACAGACAAACAAACAAACAAGAAGTGAATTTAAAGAGAAGTGTTGTAATAATAATGAATCAATAGTTGATGCCTAGTATCAATCATCAACATGATTCCTATTAAAATCTGTATCACTATCTTCTATACTTGCATTGAAATAGCACCTTCAATTCAAGTATTCAAACCCTATTCAAAACCCTATTTATTTACAAACAAATTTTCAAGTAAATTTTTCTCTGTTGTTATGATCTCATCATTCGAACTCAGCGAATGGAAGAGTTTGATCTTATCACAAAAACTTTGCACATATTAAGCCGATAATTTTAAGTTATTTAAAGGCTTATTTTGCAAAATACATGCATACCTTTGACAGCAGGGCATTCCACAGGCGAAGGGGAAGCCCTTTTAGCCGCACGACTTCTACGAGAGGCGCCTGTCCCCCGCCCCTGACGCTCAGAGGCAGCCGCTTCAGGAGCCGCTGACTCGCCTGCAGAACATTTGTGTTCACACGCAATGCTGTTCGCTACATACAAAAATGTATTGAATTAACATGTAAATGGCATCAAGCGGGACGAACCATTGTTCATATAGATATTCTGGTCCATCCATTGGTTGACTTGCGAAGCCAATGTCAAACAAATTGTGCAGAGTTGGCGAGAATTCACAGCTGGAAAAGCACCAAATGTCTACGAGTTAAAAAAATTCAGCAAAATTTTATGACGAATAGAAGCAGAATTCACTCTAAGGAAGAAATTTAATCCAGATTCATCTGAGTAGGATCACATACACTCGCTCGTCGGTTGCAGGAGCTCAGGTTTCTCTTTCCCATCAACACTTTGCTGCTCAGTTCTATCAGCACTGCCAGGACGAGAGGTGCACGTCGAGGTCAGCTTGTCCAACCGCTCTCTGTTATGCATGCATGTCAATCTTTAGCATGTAGGACTGACTACACTGTTACACTTGCACCTTCACTTGGTACGATTATAGCGCTGTAAGAATATGCAGTATGACAAGAGTTAACACACAAAAGTACCGAGACCTGGTACGATATATTATGCATCATTTTCATATGACCGTAAACAACATCTATCTATTAGTCTTGCCAGAAGTGGCGCTCACTTGAGCAAGTTACGTCGCTTGTTACGGGAGTTGTAGTGGCGGATTTGGTTTGTGAGGTCAAGAAGGCTGCGTAGTTTTTGGACGTCTCCAGTACCGTCCTCACCTAACAACTCCAGGTATTCATCAACTGAAAAAAAATCCACATAAACCTGTGTTCTAATTTGACTAAGGATAAAGAAAACCTAGAACAAACTATTTCGAGTATATTCATATATATAAGTGAATCACTTTTATTCAATGCTGAAATGGGGATAGTATTCGCAACTCATGCTTCAATCATATGATGCTAGCATAACCCTTCCTAATGCTCTTTCCCGTTCGACATTGTAGCAGAGATACTAGTAATTGTTATCTAAAAGCACTCACGAATTTTGAAAATTTATCATAAATGCCAATTTGTGAATACAAATTGTGCAAATAAAAACAGTTGGCCCACACAAAACTCTTAGATTCTGCTGAATTTTCTAGGCCTAAGTGAGCGCACCTTCCTGTATGATGGTGGCCTCCGGCACGAGGGGCGGAGGCTTAGGCCTGTGAGGCAGCAGCAGGCCTGTCGTCTCATCAAAGCCGGTGGTGCTCACACAGCGCCTTGCGTTGCTCAGGATTATACTTCCCTGAAAAACATCAATTATTTACATTCAAATATTATTTAGCTTGTAAAATTCAATAGAATTTTTAGAAAAGTTTATGTACACTCCACTGAGGTGAGAACGTGCGAACAAACAGATACAAAAAATGTAGAAAAAATTATAATTACATTCGCATAGAAACTAATGTATTCTATTGATAAAAAATGATCAAAATTGCTCAAAATGCCAATTGCGTGCAAATAAGAGGATTTAAACACCAACGCAGCAAATAGCAAAAACTCTTCTAGCCCAAACATTAAAAGTTTTTTAATACAATATTCGACGTAAGTTTTAAATATAAATTTAGATAGTTAATTTCCCAAATAAAATTAGCAATCAAACATCAACTGGTGCTAAGATTGAAATTTAAACACACACAAGTAGAATTAACTCACCTGATCCTGTAGCTTGAGGCCAGCCTTATAGAAGATTGTGTCCTTGGCGTTATACGCCAGGCAGTTATCGATCATCAGATTAAAGTCTTTCTCGAGGTCGTCAATAGAAGCGTACGCATGATTCTGAGCTTTCTCCCTCATGGTGCTCAGATCCATGGGACATGATACCACGTCACTGTAGTCCTTCACCTGCAATCACCAGTACAATGAATTGATAAGTCATGGCGTTATTACATGGTTTATCTCAATATATATACGGTTAAAATAATAACTGGCATGCTCAAACATGTTGGATCATCAAACTGAAAAAACATAGAGCCTGACTCATGCAGTAGATGGGATGGACTCGACAAACAATTGAAATGAGTATTATTTAGAAGCTAAACCTTCACATAAATATCGTGTTTAATGCCTAAGTGAGAAAAATATATCTAATAGACTAATACTAAATTTTAAAAACTCACGCAGAGCATATTAACTGAAAGCAACCAGGCATTTACCTCCTCGAGATCGACAGGCTCGGCAAAGATGAGGTTCGTGTCGCGCTCCTGCAGCTGTTCGATGACGCGCAGCTGGAGGGCCACCAGCGGCGCCAGCTGCACCATGCGAAGCTCACAGCACCTACACAGGTAAACCTTCAAATTATTACGGCGATACAGAAAATGAAAAGTTTTTAATAAACTCCATATAAAATTTAGTCCTATAGTTTGGAACAAGTTCCATTTTCATTAGAATGGTATTAAAGGTTAACTTCATTCTTAACAAAGAAAACCTGATATTCTCAACAACAACGTTCTCGGTCGATACAAAGCTGCTGAATTTTAATCTGCCTCAACTCCCGATCTGTGAAGAAATGTCCAAAATACCTTTAAATCTTGATATTATTTGAAGCATTCAAAACAAACAGATTTATAACATATTAAACAAAATGATCAATAACACTTTCTGAATACGTGCACTGAAAAAAATATCCGCCCACGTACACGTTGATCATTTTCTTCTTCTCACGCTCGCGCTTGCTGATGAGCTCACAAAGCAGCCTGGCCTTCTCCAGGTCCTGGCGCAGCGTCTGCCAGTATTTGATCTGCGAGATCAGCGCCGACACCTGACACAAACGTACGAGGTTATGGCGATAAACACACACTGTTATTGCTTAAATTGCAGGCCATTGTAGCATTAATACGTACTTATATCATTAGCTTGCTTAAACGGCAAGTTAGCCAATAAATTTGAAGAAAAGACGTTTTTAATGACGATATCGCTAATTTATTTGGCGTTTTCTTGGCTATTAAATTCTTAGCAATAAACACCATTTGCTAACATAATTCAGGTGTAAAAATAGTAAAATAATTAATTACCAAGTCCTTCTTTTAACGAAAAGACAAAGCTAAATTAAGATGCTATTTGATACTTCAATTATTGAGGTAATTTGATAAATAGCAAAACTAATTTCCAATTATTTTCTGATCACATGTAACGAATTTGAGTGTAGTAAAATGACTACGTACCTAGCACATTGGCCGGAAAACCAATATTGCAGAGACTATTTCCAGAGAACACAAATACAATATGCACGACTTCAATGCTAAACATAACGCAATATTCATACCAGAAATATGCAAGAAATACACTCACGACGTACGATCTCCATCATGTTTATGGAGAATAAAAAATATGACACAGAGCTAAAACTCTGCCACCGGTTAATGCAGAACAAAATTCAGAAAGGCAGAAACTAGAGGCAAGCTTTTCGTACGGCGGCTATTGAATTATGTATAAACTGATTCCAACAAACTATGAACACTGAATGACAATGAAATTAAGCACAAAACTGATCAATGAATCATTGAAAGCAGTCAAATTTATATTAATTCTGCAACGAAAACGATTTGTTCCAGTAAATGCAGAATTCAATAGTAGAAACTAGCAGGACATTTCTCAGACTTTGGCCAACTCCTACACAGCGAAGAGGATCTGGCTTAAACTAAGCAATAAAGACGGAAGGGATTACCCACATCGTCAAACAGACGGAAGGGATTACCCACATAGTCAAACTGCTGTTAGGGATTGCTCACATAATCAAACATGGAAGGGATTACTCACATCGTCAAAGGGAGAGGAGGGTCTGGATGGGGTTTTGGATGAGGTTTTGGCGGTAGGAATGTTTTCATTGACGCCCGTGAGGAGCTTCCTTTTCTTCTTAGGACCGCCCGCGTCGCTCTTCTTACTCTAACAACGTCATGCGAACGATCAATGCACGAGCGTTAGGTTAACACAAAACATAATTCATCTCGTCACAAGAACAACGCATTAAACGCAGCTCCGATGGCTAGCAAAAGAAAAAAGCAACTCCTGAGCACTAATCTGATCAATTTGTAATGCTAAAATAAAAGGTAGAAATTTCAACTTCATAAGAGTAATCTACAATGAAAAATAACCGATGACGAACGCTAATTATCAACGAAATAGAAACGAAATGAAAAAAAATTAATTCAAGCATATATAACGTAACATACAATTTATCGCATCCGCATCCAAGAAGGGCAAGCACAAGCAATAACCACAATAAAATCAGGAGCAAATTGTGGGAACATAAAATACCCTAAAAGGATACTTAGGTACTTCATTAAAACATCTATACAAGTCCAAATTCAAAAAAATATTGCTTAACTTTAATGAAAAAGCCTTCATGATAACGGATCGCTCCTGAGGTTGCTTTACTGATTCAGCAGGTTTTGTAAATAAGGGCGGCTTGGGAATAATGGACGGCATGAAGGAAATTGTGAATTTTTGACCAAATATATCCTGGATGATTAATAGGAATTGCTTGCACTACCGCTACCAATCATCACGTGCACTAGCGCTATTCCTCAAATTAATCTATTCCCTATTTAAGAAACAAGTATGTACAAACAAAATGAATGGAATCGGCCAAAAAAGCAAGAATAACAATAAAGGTTTTGATATCTCTTAAGAAAACAAATATATTGCATTGACAGGAACGGGACAAAAATGCAGTGCAAGACAATACAAGAAAGTAAAAATAAACTACTGAATCCTCACTCAACGATCATCCCCGCGGACTCACATTAGGATCTTTCCGTTTCTTCGAAGATTCAGAGTCATCTGCAAGGGTTTTGTTCGCATCTTGAGGCACAGGCGCAGGCGAAGGAGCAGCTGCTTGGTCAGAAGTAACGCTGACATCGCCTTCGTTGGCGTTGGAATGATTGCTGATGTTTGCAGCGTTGCTGCGACGGCTGCTGTGTGTGCTGGTAAGGCGGCGGAGCAATGGCACGCCGTTACGTGACTGTCGCTTGAGCGTCCAGAACGCCAGCAGGCGGTGCATGAACTGCGACACACGCGACACGCCGTCCGCCAAACCCGCCAGCTCCTGGATCCTGGAAATGGCATGGATGAAACAGGCTCATCGACAGGAGTAAAAGTATACCAGGAATTTTTGAATCGTAAGGAGCACAAATTGAAAGAGGAATTTGTACCAGGGGCAGAAAAGGATACAGCTATGCGCATGCAGTGACTTGCTCATCGTTAGATGACGTTGAAGCGTGCTTATCGTTTGCCAAAGAATGCCTCTAAATTTGCAAACATGAATACAAGTTCAACAAGGAAGTTGCACCAGCGGCAATGAATGAAAAAAAGATGCAGACAGTATCAACTTTTTAGCGCTGAAATAAGCCATCAAACATGAATGAAACAGGAAACCGCATCACATTCCACGAGTTGCTAAAGTTTCCCAAACCATGAACTCTATACGCCTGTTATCATTCAATATAGAACAAACACAGTAAAGTTTTGATAACTCGTATTATTGTGGGAAGCCCCTTTTAATGATCCTGCAAGGAAGTATGATTCTCCTACTAGGAGTCCAGCAAAGAAATGTAAAGTAAAAGTATAAAATTAAAGCAAGAGTATAATTCTCTGTGTAAACATAGTAAGTATACTGCATAAAAATCACTTATTGACTTGATTATCGTAAATTAATTTTATTTCTGTCATAACAATGGATTTGGTGCACATCTTAGATTCCTCTCCTGAGGTTAGTTTTCAGACTGGGTAGAGGCTGGCAAACTTATGAGTCATTCAAGGTTGTGTGGACCCCCGCGCCTCGGTTTTGGTATTTTCATCTTATTCTTCCACTGTCCATACTCTGTTCTTTCTTGTCGTGTTGCTTCTGAATTAATTATTATATAAATACAAATAAAAGATTAAATAAATAGGCGGGTAGAGATAGTTGTAGGGGAGGTGGAGACCATCATTAGATGCTTGTTTTCCTGAACCTTTCACAACAAACACCCTCAGGCAAACTACGTGGTTGATGGCTGATAACGCCTAGCAATAAGCGTCCCGTAGCAATATTTTTATTAATTTTCCCCTCCTACAAAGTATAGTATCTCAAAAATTATTACCTTTGTTGCAAGCAGTAAGCTAGTGTCACGTGTGTTGCCGTCTTCATCACATCAGAGATGTTGAAAGTTCGTTAGCCTTCATTTAGAATATTACAATAGCGAATCACGTTACAATACATTAACTAGTCTTAATTCAGGAATGAACAGTCAAAAAGGACGTTACAATGCCCAAATAAACCGGCCAACAAAAGCATCGCTGCCTGCAACCATGCCACCGACAATACCTGTCGGGAGGTATGGTGGGAAGCGCCACCATTGGAGCGGCAGAACGTTTTTCGGCTAATATTTTGCGAGCTTTTTTCATCTTTAGTCGCCACTCAGCCTTGGCTTCGGCAGCCCTCTTGGCGGCGCCGCCAACTTCACCTTCCTCTCCCTGAAACGAACATAATCCATTGTATCACTCATACAAGATATACTAGTTATTAATCGGGAAATGTTGTCCAGTAAATATAGCAGAATCATTGCTGCGATGCAAAAGAATCCATATGATAATGCCAAGAAATGATCAAAGCGAACTGAGCGCACAGTAAATAAAGAAACTGGGAACTCCCATCATCTAATGTTACGTCTAACTCAGTTGGTGGCTGGAAAAAATGTAGGTACTAAAATCGATCCAATACAAGTGCAGAAAATTTATTTCATCAATATTGACAAATAGGCCCATTTGTTTATCTGTCCATTTTAGTTATGAATTCAGAATTCCACTACAATACCGAGTAAATGAAATGGTCACGCAGAAGAATATTTCTAATATAATAAATAAATATAAATACAAAAATAAACATAAAATTTATACAACTTTCATCAAGAAGTTTCAGCTATTTGCCATCTTTATTCTATACTTTCTTTCAAGGGGAACAAGATTGTTGAGAAATAAAATATAAAAGTAAAGAAAACAGAGGAATAACTAATTGATGTTTAGGAACCCGCCTAAACATACATAATACAATATATATTTATGATAAAGGGAGAAATGTATTTGTTACAATAAATAATTGTAGACAATAAGTATAAAATAGGCAGTTGCACCTGTTCAGCGTCATGCGGGGTGTGCATGTCACAGTAGGCAGCCTTGCGCACCGTCACGCTCGTCCCAGAGACGCTCGTCTCTCTGATCGCATCAATCTTCATGTGCAGAGATGCTTGTTGAGCGCATGTCACATGGAACGCTGCAAAATATATACATGCTTATTATTGCTGGTTACAATAATCAGATTATACCTGTCAACGTGCAGAAATGCCAGTAAGAATCATTACCACAAAGATAGAAATTAGTAGCATCCAGCAATAGATACATTAAAAGAGATATTAGGTGAAGTGGCCGCTTAGGCAGCAGACATTGCACGAGATACATGAAGAGATAAATTCATTTGAGATTCCATATGTGTCAGCAGACACTGTAAGGTGGTACATGAACAGATGCATGCCGTTTCTAACTAATTTTAGTTCAAGAAATAGAATTCAACGGGAATCTACAGAAATATTACGCCTCACCAGTATAGCAATTGGCTTTGTTGCACTGAATACAGGCGCCTACGCCGCGCTGCTTACAAATGTAGCAAGTGAGCTTCCATCGCGCTGCAGGAATGTTGTTGATGCTGTCGATGGGTTCGAGGAAAACCTGAACAAAAAGATTGAGTGATAAAAACTCTTGCATGCAGCTTATCTAGGCATTTACACATAACTCACCTAACCATCTATGCGCACAGGTTAGCAAAAATTATTAACAATTCAATTTTAATCGTTAACAATAAAACAAAAAAGGAGCATTTGGGAAAAGGTTGGCAATATGAAAAAATAATATTTGACATTAGGGAGCGTTTGCAGTCCAACTGTTTGTCATCAAACTGTAAAACAGAACAAAGAATTACCGTCAAATGGGGTGACTTAGGCAAAATTTGGGGTGACTTAGGCCAAACTTGGGTTGACTTTGGCCAAATGGGTAAATTGGGCCAAATCAAGCAGGATATACAATTAAGGAAACGAAAGTTTCCAATCGATAGGTAAGAAAAAAACTACATTGGATAAAATTTAATTTCAAAAACATAACACAACTACAACAGAAACAAATGGCAGCAAAACAAAAATCATAAACGTTGGCCAAAGTCACCCCAGTTGACGGTAACTAATTAACCGCCTATATATAAATAATATAAATATCTTTGTTAAAACTGAATTAAACTGCAAAGCGAAAGGCGGACAATACGCAACGAAAAGTCCCTAAATATTTCTAATCCAGAGGTTCTGCACCAAAAACGCGGTTATGCAGACACAGCAAGATCTAGTCAGTATTAAACAGAAAATAAACATGAACATGTTTGACGACGTAACGTCTTAATCAAAAACAAGTAACATACTGTGTTGGCAAAGCAGACTTCGGGGATCCACATGGCGCACACGACGTGCGCCCAGCGACTGTCATCTGTTTGTTTGAAGGCACCGCCTTTGTTGGGGCACAAGGCGCAGTCCACGGCACGCGAGGGCGACTGTAGGCACCGCCGGCACAGCCACTGACCCTCCGGAATGTAGGGCACTCCGTAACATTCCTGCAAAGCAAATTAAATGTTCTTAATACGAATAAACATATTTCATAACATGCAGAAAGTATTGCCTCATCCAGACCTTAATATTCTTAAAATTATTTCGTTGGCATGAGCCGAAATTGCTCGGACATAGCAAAGCAATGAGTTATTATTTTCCAAACATGTGTTATTGATAATACATGTCCAAACATGTAATAATTATTATTATTATTATCTTTTGCATACTTTTTAGGTGGGGTTAAACCGTTAAAGAAATAATGAAATTAAAATCGGCTTGAGGTCTGGAACTCAATTGGCCAATTTATACATTATAATTTAAAAAGGATTTCAATGGGCTCTGCTATTCTTGAACTGGTCCGGCATGCATACAACATAATTTGACGGATGCCTGCATAAGCCTCGATTGCATCACTTGATGATCACGCATACAAGTTCACATTTCGGTGGGCATACCGTAGTCCTTTTAATATGAATCTGGAACTCGCTGTTGGCTTATTAGATTCATCACAGAGCTCATAGTGAATCACAATTTTATTCACAATTGTTTCAGTCACTAACTCTAACTTCAGTCGTCATTCCAAAAATTTTTTTCTCAGATTCGTCTGTCTATACATCGAATAATTTAGACCACCGTTTTTCTTTTCCATCCATGAATGTCGAGAGTCCAGGGCCCACAGATCGTAATTCCATCTACGTTTTGTGAATGATAGGTTAGGCTCTCGGTAGCAAGCTTATCGGCAGCTCCTCTAAAAAGTCTCAATTTTTTATAAAAAATATCGGAATCGCTCGAATAAAGTTCATTCATAGAGTATAACGTTTATACAGATATAAAGTTCCTTATATCTTAAAATATAAGGAACTTTAAGGCAGAATCGAAGTTCCTTATATATCTACATTACACTAAGGTGTAATTACACATTGTAATATAATTTATACCTTTCACATTTAGTGTAAAGTACATTACAAAGTACGATCATTACAATCATGCATTACTCATTACGATCATTACAATCATGATGCACGATGTGCAATCATTGAGAATACATTACGATGTACAATCATTGAGAATACATTACGATGTACAATCATTGATAATACATTACGATGCACAATCATTGATAATACATTACGATGTGCAATCATTGAGAATACATTACGATGTACAATCCTTAACTATACATTACAAATGCATTATTTAGACTGAATTACCTGGTGCACGGCGAGATTGCACATGTCGCAGAAGAGGATGACGTTGCTGTTCTGACACTCGCCGTCCATGCAGATGCAGCACACGGCGTCCTCGTCAATAGCTGCCACGCCGCTGTCCGCGCGTCCGCTGCTCTCAGCCTGATCATGCCACGCCAAACTTGTCAAACATTGCCATGCATGCAGTAAGCTCAGAAATTGTAAACATTATCCCAAATATAATACTTATTTTCACTGCAAACTGTGGATATAAGCAGAAACTTTTCTTTAGAAACAAACAGGTATATGATTTGGTATTTTTTACGACTGAATTTAGAGTTATTAATTATGTTTATTTTCATTTCCCAAAAAAGTCAATAAATTTGTAATTTAAATAGATAACTACACTTATCTGTTTGACAGTTTTTTAGTAATTGACATAATTTGACCTAGAAGATCATTTGTACACAAAATTCAAATTCCAGAAATATTCATAGACCAAGGGAGCATCCAATGCTCGTCACCTGAAAGAAGCTTTCCTTCTCCAGTCTGTCCATGAGGAGCTGCAGGTTGTGCATCAACACGGGCTCCAGGTTCTCAGCCTCACGCTGCTCGTTCACCAGTTCCAGCCACGCGCAGTCCTCTTCATCCAAGTCATACTCGATCTCCTCCGCCAGCTCTTGGTGCGTTTTCTCCACGAATCTGATAATAATGCGGAGAAAATCCTAGGAGTTGTCTCTCAAGGCTTAAACCACAAATTATGTAGCACATGGTCACTAAAAGAACAAATGTAAAGCGAAGGACGAATAGTTTAGCCACTACCTGCATTTGAGAGGAAACGCGTTTCACGCATCAAGAACCATTAAAAATCTTCACATGTATAATATGAGAAGATATTACAGCTATGAATACCGAGATACAATGGACCAGGGCGTTGACATTGGGCTATTGCCATGGAATGGCAACTTAAAAAAGTGGGTCTTTAGGACGGCGTTCGCGGTCGATGCTTGCACAGAAGCGCAGTTGTACTCCTCTAATGGATTGCATTACTGATCAACGTCTATCGGAAAAATGTAAGATAATAGTGATTTGCCACATGCCAATGGCATGATTACCTCAGAAAGAGTTAAATGCGAGAGCATGGTTAAGCCAGTAAACCAATTTGCTGGTCCAGGTAATTTGTGGGTTTATAACAGTATTTGCATGGTCTAGGATGTGCCCTTGCTTACACCACTACATATCTACTTCTAAAGTATAAACAGAAATGAATTTATAAATTAGTGTGTTCTTATTACCAAGTACCTTCCTTGGGACCATTCAGCAACGTGCAACAATTGCACCACTTAGTTCAAGTACAGTAAATGCCTTGATTCAGTAAACTTGATTCAGTCGATGCTACCTAAATGAATGACTGACAATATGCACTGGCAGTGCGCAGAAGCTTTCCTTGAAGATATAAAATGAATACTAATCACTATATACATAAAAATATAACAAGGTATCAAAAAGCCAGCAGTTATGAAGCTGTAACAAAGTTATATGTTCCTCACTTGAAGTATTCATCAGTGAGAGGCGGAGCATCAGGCAGTTTAGAGTAGTAGTCCTCAATGATGGTGAAGTTAGCCTCAGGCAATCCTTTATTGCGCTTGTCTTCTATTGTGTACCGCTGCACGTCGCAGCCACGCTCGCCTGTGCTGCTTCCCGTGCCACGACTCTGCAACAAATCAGTACGATTAAACCAGGCAATTTTGTCAGGACGAATTTAGGGGAGACTTCAAGTAATTTTCTCATTCACTTGAAAATGAGACTCTGCATTTTCAGAGTATAAATTGCAATTAAAATTTTCCTCATGAATGAGGTTTAGGTTAAGTTATGACATGAGTAACTTGGGAGTGTCTTTCCCCATCATTATGGATTAGTTTTTGGCAACAAATTCTATAACAGTTTGAGTCTCTATGATTCTAGTTGTGTCATGTTTAACATAAGAATTTGTAAGATATGTTAGTAAGAAAACCTAATGATAATTTAATATTAAGGCAAAGCTTGTAAGTGTAGTAAATATGTATTTCTAGTAGGAGATAAATAATATGCGTTTAAAAATTACTTTTTAAAGACAACACTTCTACAGAATCCAGTGTCTAATCATCAATTCTAATTTGATCATCAAATATTTAAAAACTTCAATTTTTAAAATTAATTTTTTAATTTTTAAGAATAATTTAAATTTTGCAAAATTATTTATTCTATCAATTGAATCATTCATTGTCTGCAACTTTACACAATAGTGCAAAATTTGAGATTGATTTGAAAGGTAGAAGTGTGTTAAATATTGAATACAAGATATGTACCAGACAAAATTATTTGTTTAAATTTTTACAATTAAAAAATTTTTTTTTAAATTATATATTCTGTCAATTGATTCATGCATTGTCTTTAACTTTATGCAAGTGTGCAAAATTTCAGATCAATTGGAAAGGTAGAAGTGCGTTAAATATTGATTAGAAAATTTGTAGCAGACAGACAACAAGAAGTGAAATTAAAGAGAAGTGTTGTAAAAATGACAAATCTGAAGAATGATAGAAGTGCAGTGGCCTGTAGTCATAAAATGTTAAAATATAATATTCTTATTCTATCCTTAGATTCAGACTGGCCTTGCTCTCAAAAAGTTCATAGTAATTTCACAGTTATTACCTATATATAAACAATAATAGAAGTAAAGTTTTGCAAAATAATGAAAATATGTATTGATGCCACAATATCTAAAAACTGAAATGGTAATTCTTCATATACAAAGTATACATGCCTTCTGTGTCAATAGACTTGGAATGATACAAAACAACACAAATAGAATCATTTCCCACCTTAGGTGTTTTATGGGCCTTGGCAGCAGTAACTTTTGATTGCTGGGGCGTTTTTGCAGCTTCTGGTTGCGGTGCCTCCTCAAGGCAAGGAGGCAATGACGCTTCAAATTCTTCCTGCAGCAAAATGAGTTGTCAGGAGTTTTAGACTTAAAGCTGGGCCACAGGATTGCAAGAAGATAATCAACCAAGATATAACACAAATTTCAGTTTGTTAACAAATGAACAATGACACAGATGTTATGGAAGCCTATAATATTACTGGGTGTTAAACGACTATTTTAATAAACAAAGGAATCCAATTTACCTTAGATAATATTTCAATAGGATCATACACTGATATTTTCATTGGTTTGCCATCAAGTTCAAACTCAACATTCTTCATGTCAGTGGAGAAGGGAACTGGAGGAGGTTCAGGATCTCCAACAATGAGCTGCCCCAATATTGGTGATGCAGTTCTTTTCTGTCCCTTTTTGCGGCCTGTAATAGAAACAAGCATCAAGTTGCCCTGGATCAGGTTGGGTGAAAGTCATGTAGGTATGTCTCAAGCCATATATATTAAGAGCCTCAAGACCTGTTAGATAAGGGAAACTTTGCTCAAGTTCTAGGATGTTCAATGAGAAAATAATTGCTTAATAGAATAAAATATAGGTTCATTTAATGCTCATTCTCTCATTACCTTAAATTAGGTAAATACAAATCTATACAAATTACATTACGTATACCAAGCCAATATTACATTAATATTCTTCTAACAAAACTTACTTGACTTTGATAGTTGCTTGGATGCACCTGTAGAAGCAGGTGTTGTGGGCATGTTATTATGATCAAATGTAGTCATGTGAGTATGTATGCCAGCAAGTGACTTGTAAATTCTTCCACATACGGCAACAGGACATTGGTACGGAGGCTTCATGCTCCGACAATATTCAAGGAATTGTTCATGCTCATTCATGTTGAATTCAAGATAAAAATTTTGTTTATGCAATAAGAAACATGAGGTATGACTTCAATAATGAAGTCCTTATTTTAATGAACTCTTTTGAAGCCCTTAGTATTTCTTGTTAGCACACCACAATGGATTCTTCTCAAGTCCATCCTTTTGTAATCTAGGAGTCTCTGTTTGATATGATCTTGGACATATTTTGTAAGCTTTGTTGAGGAGACCAAATTATTTCATGAAAAACAGAAAGCTTTAAACATTTTCATGAAACAGAAACAACATGAAACAGAAACAGAAAAAGCTCTAAACATTTACAATTAGGAGCAACATACAGCCATGCACTTAAGGAGATTAATCACAAAGGAGATTATAGCCTGCTTTAGTTACAGTACAGCCAACACTTTGAAAACTGTATATATACTAAGAACAAATCAGAATGATATTATGTTATAACTGCTTAATGCTTATATTTCAAACATAAAAAAGGATATTCCAAAGGAAAAAGGAAATTCTTGCTTTAGAAGTTTACATTTTAAGATCCAATATGATATGTGTACATGTTCAGATATTCTGTATTAGCCCTCTTTAATTCCACCCTGCATGAAACAATTAATGCTGACAACAGTCATTCACGAGTGATTTTCAAGACTTGCAGGCATAGATGTATGTTTTTCATAAATTAATTAAGCCTTAAGCAAGGACCATGAAGTTAAGTGAAATGGTCTGTGAGCACAGTGAGCTCAGGAATTTTTAATTTTTAATTTTTTGACATCCCAACAATCAGGTTATGGTACCATTCCCAGTTTCAATGGATCCAGCCTCCAGCCAGGGCACGGATGCTTAAAAAATCTGCTACCAATAACCAATAAGGTTAAATACTGTTGAAAATTGCAATGATTTAATATATCATGCAAGTTATATAATTTTTCTTCTCAATATTAACTAAGCAGCAATATTAAAATTTTTGTGATTTGATCATGTTGTTTGATATTGTTAAAGAAAACCGAGTCTAAACTCTAAACTAAACTTTTTATAGTATGGTGGACAAGTGGTCCTACACTCCTACGACTACGAGCTGCAAGGTTAAGCCTCCCAAGTGGATTTGGAGCGTGGTGATGCTGAAAAATATCTTCAGACATCAGGCCTTTGTCTCAGCTAGCTGCCATGCATCACACATTCATTTAAAATGTTAATTTTTATATTTAATTTGGCATAAGGAGGGGGGGAAAAAGAGGAGACAGGTACAGGATTCACGGTATTGAGACAAGTTTGTGTAAGTTTTAGATGCAAGATGGTTTGTGTAAGTTTTAGATGCAAGCTATAGGTTGATGAAATAAAAGAAACAGGGGATGGTAAAGGGGAGAGAGAGAATACTTTCAATTTAAATATGCTCTTTTGTTGGTTATTGGTAGGTCCCACTTATTGCACGGTAGTTTTGGACATTTGTCATACAAGTCTTATTAGCTCCCAGCACACTAGATAATACTTTGTTTTTCTTTACATTCAATTGTTATTATTATTATTATTATTACCATTCTTTTACTTTTTATTGCTCATTTCTTTACACCCTCTTTGCCTCCATTCTCTCCAGCCTCCTCCTCTCCCTCATTTTCCATGCACCCTCTGAAAAGCACTTACCACTATCAGTCATGGCAGTGGTTGCCCCTGGTGACAGGCCCACCATCATTGCCATTCATTCATCTCCTGTTCTCTCATATGTCACACGATCACCCTCACCTCTCTCATTCAGTATCACTCCAATCATTTCCAGTCTTTCACTCTCATACACTTCACACTCCATCATCAGGTGTTCCACCGTTTCTCTCCCACCTTTGTTGCACATGAAACAGATAATTTCCCTTCTTTCATTCCACCTGTGTTTGTGCATTCACACTTAAGGCATTTGCTTTCACACATAACATTAGATCCCCACCCCTGCTACCATCATAAATGCATTCATACTTTGGCATTTCTTTCATCCTGTATAGCTTCTTGAGGCTATCCTTTCTTTCCATTCCTTGCTTTCATACTTTTAAACTGCATATTCTCACTCTCTTTTCAATCTCTTTCTTCCATTCTTTGACATTCCACTCTATTCCAGTTACACCCTGTGCAGTCATTAACCATTCATCTCCTTGTCTATTATGCACTGGGTAGGCCCATATCTCATTCAAGTCACATTTGTGTACTAGTGAATGACACGATTGAAGATTCCATTTACTCACCCTCATGCTCCACAGGTATACATCTTTCATGCCCAACATTCATCATTCATTCTTTCCAGTCATACTTTGTAATGTTTGTATCTCAGTGCTGCTTTCATTCTTCTCTCATTAAACGTGCTCCATACTATATCACCTCTCAATGCCTCAACAGCAGTCAATCTATGTAAGCATGGAAAACATCTACCCAAAGCAGGCATGGAATATATCTACTTGGCAAGCCACTATTGAATTTTTGGAGCCATGGTTTCATGTATTTGCCAGCCGTGATTTAATTTATTTGAGCCGTGAATTCCATATCTCAGCCATTAAAAGCCATTTATGAGCCAGCAGCCGCAATTTTTTACCAAGACTGTGCACGTGTTACCCCTAGCCCTAATCTCTAATTTTACCCTAAAAACAGTCAACACTGAAATTTTTCTTCACTCGAGTGGCAACTGATCACATGATAATGTGGTCTGACCGCTCTGACATAACCGCAACTACGTGATCTATAAATAAGCATTTTAGGTTGACTTGTTGTTTTGGTGTGCAGGATGTTTTAGCGGGATCATTGAAAAAGTGCTGATTGCATAATTAGGAAATTTTACAAAATGACATATTTGCGGAGTGCAAACTGCTATTTTTTTTTTATCAAACAAAAATTACATGACATTGGAGCTGCAATCATAGTGATAAACCAGAGATTTTTTAGAATCAGTTCATTTTTAATTTACTCAAGATTTTAACCAATTTCTTAAGTATGATCATGCTGGTAGACGGTAGTGGTATCCATGATACTTTGCTGGTCTACTTATAGAACTCAAAAGTGAACTTGAGAGAGAGTCTAAAAAACTCTCTCCTTTGCCACTATGGCTGCAATATTTCATACCTACTGAAATTATATGATATTAAAGCCACTATATTTCAGAAAAAATAGGACTTTTCCAGCCCTGCCTTTAGAGCCACGACTAGAGCTTTCCCACCATTTCCGGAATTGCAAGATTTCCACCAGATCCACTGTGCAGGGAGTGGATGAATATTGCAAGCTCTTTGGCAATGCTTCAGTAGCAAAATTTACGCCTTTAGAAGATCTTGCCGACACATTTAGATTGTAATTCTTGCATTTAATATAGGGTAAACGCGGTATATTCTGACATTGTGGGTAATTCCGTCACCTCTCTAATTTTTTCTTTATATTAAGCTTTGTTTTAGTTCCATGCGTTCGTTGATGGTTGAAATGGTGACGTCATACATTTGTGCGTCAAACTACTGCCAAAACACTAGGTCTTGGCCATCTAGCGGGGAAATATTGAGATCCAAAGAGAGACAATGCACGCTACCCAGTGAGATCATCAAAAAATGTGTCAAATTTGACAGTTGACCTTGCTCTACTGAATAGTGAATAACTGTATAGGAGGAATATTATGGTTTGAGACTTTTAAATACATCTGTGAATATATTAGGAATCCTTTAAGTATACTTGTATGTGCTGATTTCAAGTGGTAAATAAATTAATAGATGATTAAGTTGAGAAATGGATTTAGACACATGAAAACTAATTCTGTCACAACTTGAATTGGACACACACAGATCGTTCCAAGTTGTGTACAAAAATTAAACTTTGCTTAATTAAAAGCTTAACTCTTTAGCGGGCAAGCATTGAAATATCCAGAAATTAAAATTTCAGAAACCATTTCAAGAAAGTAAGAAGTATTATACAATATATTTATTTATATAAATTTTTGCAAATTTTGCCTATTGAAGGTTTAAATCACACTTGAAGAATTCAATAAATGCCATCAGTACACAAAATTTTTCTTTATAATTTAAGTTCAGTTTATGCAAATGAAAAATTAAAAACATAAAAATTAAATTTAAATAAATTTAATCAAGTTGCCAAAATAAATAAATATATATATTGATACTTCCAAATTTTGAAGAAAATGCGGAAAGAGCGTCAATTCCATTGTCCGAGTCAAAACCTTCATTTAAATGCTCATATTTCAATTTGTGGACTTTGCAGCTGGTGATGCTATAGATAGAACGATGGTCAGATAATTAGTGATTGACTGAGGCATTATAAAGATGCCTCAAAAACAAACAGGAAGCTGTGGTGATGCTTTTTGTGACGCGATTTCAAGTGATTATAAATGGTAACTTACCCCAGTTACCCGTGAAAGGGTTAATAGTTATTAATTAAAAGCGTAAGTAAGTAGTGTTCAATATTCATTAGTGTTCTAAATCAAAGCCACACTCAGGAAGATGTATATAAACGGGGAAATTTCTCGCGTAAATCAATCTAATTATATTTTGTTCGCGCAGATGTTCGTGCAAATCACGGTCATCGATTCCGCGCCGCGCAGCACTCGGCGCAGGCCGCGGAGCCGTCCGACACAGTTTTGATTTAGACACAGTTTTCATCTGAATGGAATGGCAACATCGTCTGTAGACGATTTCAAGTAACGCTGAACCAGCATTGCCAGATGGTATATTTCTATACCAGATTTCACAAATCTGGTATTTTCAAAATCTGTCTGGTATGAATATTTTAGATCTGGTACGGTTATATATGCCTAAATCTGGTATTTTTCTGGTATTTTCTGATTTACTGCAAATTTACTGCATTTAGTTCCACCTCTGAAGTTTGAACTTCCTCCTACTTGAGGGAGAGTCTAAAAAATTCTCTGCTTTGTCTCATTACTGTGCTGACTCTTAGAACCTGAGTCCTGAGTTGACGTGGTAGCAATCTAGTTAACTCGTATCCAACCACAACTGGCACAACACAGTGCGGATACACGTTTGTGTGTACGGTATAGTGTGATTACATAATTTGCATTGCCGCACGTCCATATTTAAACTATTTTAGCTTTCTAAAAGTACGGCGCTGTCAGCGCACGGCGCATTTGTATTACCGGCATAGTGCGGCGCACCGCGCAGGTCGTTAAAATGACAATATAAATTCCCGCGCACCTGGCACATCTTCCTGACCATGGAATCAAAGCCGTGTTGTATTCCAATACAGCTCACACAGCAAACGCCGAACGGAA